TGTTCAAAGAGGAACATTAATGACGCCCTGTGCTTGAGGTTTTCAGGTCATCAGACGGGAAGTTATGACACAGTGTCAGCAGTTTGTAGCCTGTGGGTTCATATTGGGATCAAGGCCAAAGCCAGAAAAGCCGATAAAACGTGTATATTTGGATAAAATAAGGCCCACATCAATTTTGCAATGGAGCGTAGGCGTCCATTTTCAAAATGGCGATGGGCTTCGGGACTGTTTTGGGGTGATCATATTTGGATAAAATTTTCTCCCAAAGTCATCAGTTACTCCCCAAAAACTTTAACGGAAAATGAAAGATGATGAAATAAGCTTTAATTTGACGTGTGTCTCAAATACCTTGGAGAGTTGTGAGTATTTCTAATAATTTTGGGAAGTGCGCGTAATTACCTCCGAGGTCTATTTACTGATCTGTAACCCTCAATGCGCATGCGTCCTTTTGCCTTGATATGATGTTCGCTCGTACCCCCGCCCTGCAAACACTGGGCGCTAGCAAGGGCAGATGAGCTTCACAGAATCCTGTGAAGGAAGTGGGGATGGCATTGTGGGTAATTTATCATGACCTTTGTATAAAGCATCGGGGGGGGGGGGATACGAGCGAAGATATGATGCCGACTTCTTCCCATGATGCACTGCGGGTTATAAAGCAGGATTTGCGCCGCCAACGGCAGCTTTGCTGTATTGGTATACTGCTTCCCAGTTGTGAAGCTACGATAATAATGATCAAGGGCTCTGAGTATTTCAGCTAATGTTGCATACGATTGTAGCTTTGTTGGTTGTATTTTTAGGCTTATTTTCTGAATTGTTAGAGCATTATTGTCGGCACTTATTTTAGACTGAGGTTTTAAATTTACCAGAAAAATGTTCGTCTTCGTCTTTGCTGTACCGAACAATAAAATATCGACCTTGTAATGTATACTTTATTTAGAGAAAGTGTTTATCCCTCAAATTGTTCTCACAAAAAAAATGAGTGTTTCATATGAATTGTTTTTACCTTGTCCTTCACAAAAATTGAATTTTTCTCATTTTAAAGTGGCTCATTTTCCCGTCTGCACACGAAATTGGTTTTGCCTTTTTTGTGTCAATAACTCGAAGAGTTAGTCAGGAATCATGACTAGGTTTTTATTTGTTATAACACTGCTTCACATCAGCACTCGATTTCAATAAATGTGTTGAACAATGGAACCGTAATCATATTTTTTTAGGGTGTGTTCTTTGCTGGCGCATTTTTCAAAATGGTACAATGGATATACATGAATTTTTAATTAAATTATATCCAAAATACCAGCCTATAACATATCTCATTTACACTTGTTTTGAAAATTGCTACATATTTTCTTTAATATTTGGTTCCAGATCATTCTGAATCACCCTGTAGAGTATAAACTTGATGATTGAACAGGAAACTGTCATTGTCACCGTTTTCCATCTTGCTGCCATAGAGGGCGCTATCCATAAGCACGTACTGGATACATCAAAATCTTTTAGCGAGATGACCTCTGGGAATAGGAGGAACTGTGACCAAAAATGCCGACGGAACGCCAGAGATTCGAAAGGGGGAGGGAGGGAATGGGATTGTACGGATCCGGGGTTGAACATAATAAAAAAAATAGAGGGCGCTGTCCAAGGTGGACCGGCGAAAGCGGACTCTGACAGTCAATACGAACGGTCTATTTTTTCGTCAAAACCGACCGAACATGTGGTGGTATAATAATCTTCCCATGAACTGACATTATTTGTTTCTGAACTTGGTGGCGCTGTTGAAAAAAATGTACACTTCATTTTGATTGGTATCCATTCCAACATATGAAAAGACATTGTCAAAAATCAAGCTTGGAGGGATTGACGTCAGTGACTGATATAAGATCTCACTCAACTGCATTGGTCCTCAAAGAGGCTTTTACTGCAAGAGACTCATTCAGGGGCGGCGGAACACCAAAAAGGGGCACTTGTTCAGAAAAGGGGCACCTTCCGTTCCGTCGTTGTGAAGGTGGAGCAAAAGAATACGTTCCCGATCATTTCCCTATAAACCTGTATGACGAGGAGCTAAGTATGTATACGTCGTCCATTTTGCAGGGGATGGGGGCGGAACCGGGGGGGGGGGCACTTGCCCCCCCCTTCCCCCCCCCCCCCCATTTACCCAAGTGCCCCTCTCAAACTTTCGGATAATTTGTTTTCAGTAACCATTTCCCTAAATGGTATAGGGAGTTCTGGTGTGAACGAGGAATATGAAATCCAAGCCCCTAAAACCTTACAATGCGCCCTGAAAATGGGCACATAATGCGCAGTTTACATAATGGCTGGTTTTGAAGAGCGCCCCTATTTTGGAAGATGGTACCAGGCGCCCCCCCCCCCTTTGATTTTATGGAGTCCAAGTCTGACATTTCAGCACGGATGTGCCCCCCCCCCAAAAAGAAGAAGAAGATGCCTTTTACTGAGCAAGTGGCCTTTTTTTGTGATCCCCCAGCTTGAAAACCCGTTCCGCCGCCGCTGCCATCTTGCTCTTTGTGTTTCTTTTACCTAGTTTACGTGGAAAGGGACACTCTTGCTTTTGATGGCAAGTTCAGTGACCACTTTATTCGCGTGAAGACCACTACTATTATTTTAGGGGCAAGTCTTTCCACGTTGAGAAGGGCAGCATTTTTATGTTACGAGCGGGGTATTAATTGTGCTGTCGAGGGGCAGTTTTCCATCTCGAGAAGGTGCACAATCTTCTTAATTAATGCGAGAGGGGTACTTGGTTTTTGAGGGGCAGCGCGATCATATGCTTTCATACGTGTGCGTTTGGGGGCTGTTTGGTTTTCGTCTTTAAGGGGCACATTTTTTAAACCGGGCATTTTGTTGGCCTGGGAACATTGGGGGGGGGGGGGGGGGGGGGCAAGTGCCCCCCCCCCCGCCCCCACCGGTTCCGCCGCCCCTTGACTCATTGATTGCCGCATAAAGGGAGACCCCAAACTTCATCCCTGCAAATTAGACCCCAGTTATGTCACTGATCGACTCCCTCGTTGTCGTTGGTATCAAAATGCGCAATTTTGCACCCTGTTGTTTATTTTCTTCCATTGACGAGTAAAAAAAAAGAAGAAAAATCAGAAAAGGCATTGTGTCGAGAATTTGTTTTATTATTCATACAAAGTGATGACCAGCATCATTTTTTTGTCAATCATCTATTGTCAAGTCTAATAAAACGAGAAACACGAATTACTGAGTTTACTCCGGGTGTTATTAGAGTTTCAATTGAGTTTACTCCAACCAATAAAAACAAAATAGAAGGAAGGAATGATTGTCTCAAGAAATCAAGTTAATTAGTTACTCGTTGTCTTTACCGAATGTTCAACGTCGAATAGCTCATGAATAAAATTATGTAATAATGAGAAACAAATATATTTCGTAACAATAATAAAGTCTGAAAAATATTCTGTATTATATCTATATCTGGCTAAATCCTAGAAATGAATTACACAATCTTGCATTCCACGTTGTAGTGTTTTTTGTCTATAGGTTTTCCTGACTATTTAAAAACGTTTGTCATTCGATTTCACCGTTACTAATATTCAAATTTGTCCATCAACATCGATTTAGTGCACTTCACATGTTTAATTTTCGTCTTCTGTCAGACAATTTCAAATTCAATTCAAGCAAATTCAAATAATGAGCACACGTTTTCGTCCCTGAGTATTCGATTTCGTCTCGCCCAGCTAGATCTTGTTATTCAGAAATCAAATTCGTCTTATTGATTTAAATAAGACGAATTCGATATCTGAATGCTGCCATTCGGCAATAGCTTAGACGAATTTGCTCTGTGCTGACGAACATTGTCGACATGGTGACTAAAGAGGGTGACCAATCTTTCACATTGAATGGTAAATGACTAAATTGGTTTTGGCAAAAGCGTGTGAAATTTAGAGTTAGAGTTGTTGAATTTGAATGGAAAATCTTTTAAAATAGCCAGGAAAACCTATATTATGGTAAAGATTTAAAAGAATTTCAGGATGATAGCTTTTAAATTGAGCTGCGATAACCAGATTGTCTTCTCTTTTTCCGGACATTATAAACAACAGCTCCTACAACAAGACCCACAATGACGACACCGAATAAGGCACCCACTACCTGACCGACTGATGCGCCGTGCGGGACATCTTGATCACCGTCTGGGTTGCCATCTGGACCGTCCGGAGATGGTCTATCACCAGGTTGAACACCTGGTGTTTCGGCGGCTGGTACCATGTTGATGCTATCCCCACCACCCGAGGGTCCGTTCGGGTTTGTATGTGCCGGTACTTTGGGGTTTGTTGGGCCGACTCCGGTTCCTCCGCCCGGGTTCCCATGTGGGTTAAATAGCCCACCGGCAGAGAGAATTCCATTCCCCGTTCCTCCACCAGGATTCCCATTTGGGTTTGACGGGTAACCTGCAGAGGGATTTCCATTTCTTGTTCCTCCACCAGGATTCCCATTAGGGTTGTTTGGGTTCCCATTTGGGTTGTTTGGGGTACCTGCAGAAGGATTGCCATTATACCCTGTGCCGCCGCCAGGGTTCCAATTTGGGTTCGATGGGGTACCAGCAGAAGGGTTCCCGTTTGCTGTTCCTCCGCCCGGGTTTCCACTTGGATTGGTTGGATTCCCGTTTGGGTTGGATGGCTTGCCGGCAGAAGGACCTCCATGTCCTGTTCCCGGCCCGCCTGGGTTCCTATTCGGGTTGATTGGGTTTCCATTAGGGTTAAATGGGCTACTGGCAGATGGGTTCCTATTTCCTGTTCCTCCACCTGGGTTTGCATTTGGGTTTGATGGGGTACCAGCAGAAGGGTTCCCGTTTGCTGTTCCTTTGCCCGGGTTTCCACTTGGATTGGTTGGATTCCCGTTTGGGTTGGATGGCTTGCCGGCAGAAGGACCTCCATGTCCTGTTCCCCCGCCTGGGTTCCCATTCGGGTTGATTGGGTTTCCATTTGGGTTTAATGGGCTACTGGCAGATGGGTTCCCATTTCCTGTTCCTCCACCTGGGTTTGCATTTGGGTTTAATGGGGTACCAGCAGAAGGGTTCCCGTTTGCTGTTCCTCCGCCCGGGTTTCCACTTGGATTGGTTGGATTCCCGTTTGGGTTGGATGGCTTGCCGGCAGAAGGACCTCCATGTCCTGTTCCCCCGCCTGGGTTCCCATTCGGATTGATTGGGTTTCCATTTGGGTTTAATGGGCTACTGGCAGATGGGTTCCCATTTCCTGTTCCTCCACCTGGGTTTGCATTTGGGTTTGATGGGGTACCAGCAGAAGGGTTCCCGTTTGCTGTTCCTCCGCCCGGGTTTCCACTTGGATTGGTTGGATTCCCGTTTGGGTTGGATGGCTTGTCGGCAGAAGGACCTCCATGTCCTGTTCCCCCGCCTGGGTTCCCATTCGGGTTGATTGGGTTTCCTTTGGGTTTAATGGGCTACTGGCAGATGGGTTCCCATTTCCTGTTCCTCCACCTGGGTTTGCATTTGGATTGCCAACGCCAACGCCAGGAGAATTTGTTACGGCGCCCGGCCAAACGAAGCCCTGTTTGTCCGAGTCAATCGGTATATTAAAAGGAAAACCAAACCTCGGAGGCCTGGTCACTCTTGTTGGCCGTTGTGTCCCTTTCACTTCGCTGTCGCTTCCGCTTATAGAAACTGTAATGTCAAAAAGAGTGAATAAATTTAGCAAAAAAATAATCATGCAGGGACAGATTCATTTTGAACAAGAACCCCAAAATATTCTCATATTATTATATTTTTAAAATCTGCACTGAAAGGGACATACATAATATTATGTCTCTGTTGCATGTGAATTTTTTCAGGCCCCACTCATTTGTAAGAATAAAATAAAACAAGTTGTGACCTTCTATAGTGAAGTATTGAGTTAGGCAGATAGGGCACACCCCTCGAATTCAATGTAATCTGAATTTCTGGAAGGAAAATCGTTACTCCTGTTGATACACTCGCAGAATGTTAAACGTCACCATTACGATGCTAGCAAAAAGTTCCTATTCGCCTTTTAAGATTATGTTAAACCTTGAGCAACTTAAAAGGTTTGTGAATACTTCAAAAGTTCACATCGATGCCTCAATAATTCAAGAAGCAAACTTCTTCACCTTACCAGATTATAGCCTTCAAATTATGTTTAACACAAAACGTATCGGTCTATATAAACTTGGGACGATAGCCCCAAACAATAGCGATCTACTAATTACTTACCTGCAGTTAAACCAAGTAGCAACAGCAACTGAAAAGCCCATCCAGACGCCATCTTGGCAATGCCTCGTCTAGCCCTTCCCGGCAAAGTCTGCTACACCTTACAACAGCGATTGCTAAAATGAAATCCCCCAAATTGTGTCACTAGCGTTAAAAATAGTGCAAAAGCTGGAAGTGCTTAATTTGCCCCGTTTCCGTTTAGTGTTTGTCTAGGATGGGAGAGCGTGTGTGGAGTCATGATCATGCGCCGTGATTCACTGAGATCCCCCCCCCCCCAGCCCGGGGTCAAGGAATAACGCGCCTCGCTATCCCCACCAACAAGACGGCGTTCGCATGTTTGACCTCAAACCGGTTTTGAGTTGGTGAGGCCAAAAAAACAAAAAAAGTCTCCGGTTTCTTGTATGGAGCTTGCCCAAAAAGTGGTGCGGCGACGCGGCTTTTTTTTTTTTACCTGATTTGTTTGCTTCAAATGTCGGCTGATGACTGCAAATGGTGCCCGACTAAACTTAGTGCATTATATCAGAGTCCAGAGAGGCCACATAAAGCTTATTCTCGACCATAACCCAATCTAAAAACACGTTAAAATTGTGCAGCAGCAGGATTCCAGTCAAACCAGTGAGTTTGGCGGTTTTGAGACATCATCTTTCATTGAAAAAAAAAACTTTTTCATTTTGCCAACGCGCGTCGGCATGGCTACGGCGACACGCGCGCATACCAGAAACCGGAGACTTTTTTTTTTGCCTTATTAAACAAGAATCGGATAGGACTTGTACATTAACAACCATTTTATCTGACAATTCCACAAAGACCAGGGGCCACAAAGTGCACCTAGGCGGTTGTCTATTTCTACTGAAATGGCGCAGAGTAAGGAACTTAAATTTATCATGTCGTGATCCACACACTAATATTCTGTGCAACTAATGGCAGGTTTTTTGTAAGGTTTTTCCGGTACGAAACAGTGCACATGCCATATTTCTTAACATTTTGAAAAGTTAACCGAGCACTCAAGTTCATTAAAGGATTTGTTGTATAATGATGAATAGACGGATAAACTATTCAATTCAAAGGCTGGATTCCCCCGGAAAGGGTGAGCATGTATCGATTGACATTGTCTTGTACTGTGCAAAGCGGTTGTTTTCAAGATACATGTAGTTGTTAATGATTGATCACACTTTTGAGCGTTCATGACGTCAACGAAACGAATGAGCAACCTGAATGTCCCAATACTTCAAATTTGATTAAATATGGGTTCCTTTAGTGGTGATGTTTGACCCGCTGCATGAAGTTTGCAGACATGCAAAGACAAATATAATGTCAGACCAAAATATGGACCTATATCAAGGACAAGCGGATTTCTGATTTATTTTAGTATAAATTCCTAAATTTAATGGTGATTAACAATTTCAGAGTAAACTCCAGTGACACATAATAGTCAGATCTTTATGGATTATAGCTTATTGTAAGAAAGGGCATGCCACTTATGGGTGTGTCTCTTCTCTCGATTAGCATATTATGACGTCACTGACGATCTCCTCCTACAACGCCTGTGGACTTATCTGGGCACGCTGTCCCTTCTATCACGAAGGCCCCTTCAAATGGCGAAAGCAAGCTACAATAGCATACACAATGGTTTCTCCATTGAAGGGGCCTCGTTGATGTACAGTTATCGTTCGCACGGATTAGTCTAAAGGCCGTTGGATAAAGCCGCTAGATTTGAAATCAAATTTATACTGAATCAGTTTTTTTTTTAAACTCTTTCTCTATGCTTGCGTAATACGTAACTAGGCCCAGTAATGATCTCACACAAGAAACATGGTCTGCGCAAGGTCGCAAACAATAGACTTCATCCCAGGTGGCCCATTTCCCTCGGAAGTTTCCTTGCCTTTAGTCATATAAAAACGGACTCAGGGTCTATATATAAATCCGCGCAGAGGTCATCTCATAAGTGAGAATGGAAACCTTGGACTACAAACGACATGGTTCAACCAACGTCACGTGAAAGGCCAGGAAATTGGATAAATCCTGGAACGTCTCGATTTAGAAACCGCCCAGTCACCGATTTCTTGAGGGGAAATTTGCAGATGCGGCGATTTTGAAGGGCTTGTATTTTCTAAAATTTGTTGTCCTTTTATGACCTTTCTCGGATCTTTATTTATGAATTTGCAGACAAATTTTCAAGAAAGCAAATACACACACAGAATGAATAGTAAAAAAAAAATTGGTAAATAAAGTTTTGGACAAAAAATACACAGTCTGTTTTATTAAACATTGACGAACGGAATTTACAAAATTATAATGTAGTTTGAAAAGAACCTCTTATAAAGGTAAATAAATATATTTACACAAGTTACGTAAACACGTCTGAGGTTTTACTTTTCCAATGATAAACCTTACAGAGTTGTAGTGAAAGTTGTCATCCAATGTGTAAAGATTACCGACTTGAGTTGTAGCATGTTATTCCAAAAGAACAAACGCGCGAAGCTTCTGCGGACTTTTCAGCAATGGATACTGAAAGCCAACTTAATATATCGTCGGCCTACGAATCGAGACGTTAAAAGGTATAGTAATTAACTCTAGGCTATAATTTATTCACCACTTTGTAGAATTCAAAAGCAAATTGTCAGTGACGATCATTGTATTTGTCCGTAGTGCTGCAGTGTGGAAAATTTTTCTTTTTTTGTTTTCTCAGGAGAACTGGAATAGATTGAACCAACAGTAATTCAACGAGGAGTCTCGAGAGATCTTTGAAACAGACGTCCCTTAAGTTTTATCGAAGAGACTTTAATTATTTAATTAAAAGATAATTCGGTTACAAGAATACAGGGCAAACAAAATAATGAATAAAGATTGAATGAAACTTTATATAATTGAAAGATAAATTTTAATCTTTCTATATAAAAACGAAATAATGTTTACCAAGGATTCAGTAAAATTTCAAAAAAGTATTTTTTACCTAGATATTAGGTGACTTAATTAACAGGTTTCCAACTATTCTTTAAACCAAGATATTGAGGTGAAGTTATTTACCGATTTTCAAAGTACAATTTCACCAAACGTTTGTGAAAAACCATACCCAACACCTTTTCGGTACAATTTTACCTAACTATCAAGAGGTTCAAATAGCACATTGCAAATATTTCATACTGTACATAACCCGTGTAATCTTTTCTGTGTGTGGAGTCTTCTTTAAGGGTCAATACCAAAAAAACAAAGAGGATCATAAAATCTCTCTCCAAGACACAAAATCGAGGTATGGTCCCTTCATGCGTTTGCGATCTTTTTGCGCAAATCCAATGATTAATCTCACCTCAACTTTCCCAAAAGTGAATGACACCCCTGGCCTACGAACAGAATTTTAGGCAAAAAATGTTCTTAGGTACAAAATATTTAATTTTGATCAAATGCGTACCATTAGCTTATTGGTCAGGAAAACAATGTCAGTCGTGACACGGAGACACACCCCAGGCCAAGTAACCTCACGGTAATTTTGACTGCCCAGAACATGACGAAAAGCCAGCTATTCTCGAACACAACACTCCTAATCTGAGTCTGTAATCCCCTCATTCCAAACAAGATTATGTCCCAATGACATTTTCTTAATCAAATTGTTTAATGTCACAATTTACTCCTCAATCCCGACTGTCGGAGAACATTCCAATGCCTCATCGGAGGCTTGGAACATCTGGAATTCATGCGGTCCTTCCTTAGTAGTGGAACCCACAATCCGTACCCCTTGGCGGGAGTTTCGCATCATCAGACTTACAGGATGGACCGAGAATGTTCACGTGAATACCCCCTGACAACTCATCACCGGACCTGTGGTGAGAGGCCGAGACGTGTTGCCCCCGTCATAAACCTCCTTGACATCGGTAGTCGGCCTTTGGCGATGGATGCACCCTGTTATTATGCACCCAGGTGTTCTGTTCAAAGAGGAACATTAATGACGCCCTGTGCTTGAGGTTTTCAGGTCATCAGACGGGTAGTTATGACACAGTGTCAGCAGTTTGTAGCCTGTGGGTTCATATCGGGATCAAGGCCAAAGCCAGAAAAGCCGATGAAACGTGTAGAATTGATTCAAATCTTAAAGTCCCTTAGAATTGTCTCTATTAAAGGTGAAAAAATTATTACACTTTCCATTTTTCAAACAATATTATTACTATCAAATTTATTATCATAAATTCCCCTAAAATGAACAGTTCCAAAAGAAAACCAGTGTCAGGTCCCAGGATTGTCCGAAAAATGAAAAAATGGAGGGATTTTGAAGGTCCTTATTGCCTAAATGTTATAATGACCAATTTGGCCCACATTATGTCGGGCAAAATGGGCAACCCGGTGATTGTCAGTATGACACCACCCAAATTCTCCGGTTTTAGAGCATTTTGGGGACCGTGAATCTGAGGATCAATTTTGCAATGGAGCGTAGGCGTCCATTTTCAAAATGGCGATGGGCTTCGGGACTGCTTTTGGGGGTGATCATCTTTGGATAAAATTTTCTCCCAAAGTCATCAGTTACTCCAAAAACACTTTAACGGAATATGAAAGATGATGGAATAAGCTTCAATTTGACGTGTGTTTCAAATACCTTGGAGAGTTGTGAGTATTTCTAATAATTTTGGGAAGTGCGCGTAATTACCTCCGAGGTCTATTTACTGGTCTGTAACCCTCAATGCGCATGCGTCCTTTTGCCTTGATATGATGTTCGCTCGTACCCCCGCCCTGCAAACACTGGGCGCTAGGAAGGGCAGATGAGCTTCACAGAATCTTGTGAAGGAAGTGGGGATGGCATTGTGGGTAATTTATCATGACCTATGTATAAAGCATCTGGCTGCAGCTGTAGACCGCGGTTAGCCAATGCGCGCAAATACCATCCGAAAAGTTTGCCATACTAATGCATACACACCATACCGGATGTGATTTCTTTTTCATTGCGAACCATGTGGACACATTTTGAGCGTCGGATGATATGCATTTCGACCCTTCGAGAATTCGAAACGGAGCCTGAGCAAGTTGAGCAACTGACGGGAGTTGAAAATTTACAAACAGATAAGTTTTACAGACTTTCCTGCATTATTATGCTTTTCAACCAAAAAAGGGCGCCGCATGTATGAATGAGAGAAAAAGATTGATGAACGACTCAGTCTTAACGGCCGTTTCAAACCTTGCAGGGTCGTGGCCGTGACGCCTTGCCGGTCACAGGTCACGCAAAATATATCCAATCAGAGCGTTAATTCGTCAGCCCTTCCCAGCGTCCTGCTTGCAGGGCGGGGGGGGGGGGGGGGGGTAACAGCGAAGATATGATGCCGACTTCTTCCCATGATGCACCGCGGGTTAAGCAGGATTTGCGCCGCCAACGGCAGCTTTGCTGTATTGGTATATTGTTTTTCCAGATGTGAGGCTACGATAATAATGCTCAAGGGCTCTGAGTATTTCAACTATAAATATTGCATAGGATTGTAGCTTTGTTGGTTGTTGTTTTAGACTATATTTCTGAATGGTTAGAATATTATTGTCGGCACTTATGACAAACTGAGGTTTTCAGTTAACCAGAAAAGTTTTCGTTTTCGGTTTTGCTGTACCGAACAATGAAGTATCGACCTTGTAATGTTCATTTTATTTAGTGAAAGTGTATCCCTCAAATCGTTCTCACAAATGCTGAACCCCCCCCCCCCCGATCTGCATAAACGTTTTCAGTTGAATAACTCTAAACCTGCTTTTTACAGGGTGGGTCAGAATGATCTGGACCCAAGTTCACTATTTTTTTGGCAAATAGATTATTGAGAAAAAAACTGAGTGTTTAAAGTGAATGGTTATTACTTTGTCTTTCACGAGAATTATAAATATTTTTTCATTTTAAAGTGGCTCATTTTCCAGTCTGCACACGAAATTGGTTTTGCCCTTTTAAAATGTGTCAATAACTTCAAGTGAGTCAGTCACCATGACTAGGTTTTTATTTGTTATTACACTGCTTCACATCAGTACGCGATTTCAATAAATTTGTTGAACCATGGAGTGTTTTTTTAGGGTGTGTTCTTTGCTGGCGCTTTTCTTCAATATGGCACAATGGATATACATCATTAAATTATGTCCAAAATACCAACCTATAACATATCTCATTTGCACTTGTTTCGATAATTGCTACATATTTTCTTTAATTTGGGTCCAGCTGGGGCCAATTTCACGGCGTTGCTAAGCACACAAACTTGCTTAGCACAAAAAAAGGCCTGCTTATAAAAGCAGGTTACCAGGCAAAACTCCACGTGATGCATATTGCTCATGATTTGTATTCAGCTGTTGTTTGCTTAGCATGAAAATCACATGGAGTTTTGGCATGTAAACTGCTTCTCTAAGCCAGCCTTTTTTGGTGCTAAGCAAATTGTTGTGCTTAGCAGCGCCGTGAAATTGGGCCCAGATCATTCTGACTCACCGTGAGGAGTAAAAACTTGATGATCAAACAGGAAACTGTCTTGGTCACCGTTTTTTATCTTACTGCCATAGAGGGCGCTATGCCATATGTACGTACCGGATACATCAAAATCTTTTAGCAACATGACGTCTTGGAATAGGAGGAACTGTGACCAAAAATGCCGACGGAACGCCAGACATTGGAAAGGAGGGAGGGGTGGGGGTTGTACGGATCCGGGGGTTGAACAAAATCAAAATATAAATAGAGGGCGCTGTCCAAGGCGGACCGACGGGAGCGGACTCTGACAATTAATACGAGTGGCTCTGACAATTAATACGAGTGGCTTTTCATGGCTGTCTATTCCGTCGTCAAAACAGACAGAACGTGTGGTGGTATTAATAATCTTCCGATGAACTGACAAACTGTTGCTGAACTTGGTGGCGCTCTTGAAAAAAATGTACAATGAAAGGCCCTTTACCACTATCGTTACGTTGGCCATTTAGACTTCCTTTTAGATTGGTATTCCATTTCAACATATGAAAAGACATTGACAAAAAAATCAAGCTAGGAGGGATTGACGTCAGTGACTGATATAAGATCTCACTCAACTGCATTGGTCCTCAAAGAGCTTTTTACTGCAAGAGACTCATTTCGGGGGCGGCGGAACACCAAAAAAGGGGCATTTGTACAGAAAAGGGGGCACCCTCCGTTCCGTCGTTGTGAAGGTGGAGCAAAAGAATATGGTCCCGATCATTTCCCTATAAATCTGTATGACGAGGAGCTAATTATAAATAAGTCATCCATTTTCCAGGGGGTGGGACGGAACCGTGGGGCAGGGGGCACTTGCCCCCCCCCCCCATTTACCCAAGTGCCCCTCTCAAACTTTCGGATAATTTGTTTTCAGTAACCATTTCCGAAAATGGTATAGGGAGTTCTAGTATGAACGAGGAATACGAAATCCAGGCCCTAAACCCTTACAATGCGCTGATATGTCACTGATCGACTCCCTCGTTGTCGTTGGTATCAAAATGCGCAATTTTGCACCCTGTTGTTTATTTTCATCCATTGGCGAGTAAAAAAAAAAGAAAAAAAATCAGAAAAGTCATCGTGTCGAAAATTTGTTTTATTATTCATACAAAGTGATGACCAGCATCATTTTTTTTTTACTTTGAAAGCACTGATCTATTGTCAAGTCTAATGAAACTAGAAACACGAATTACTGAGTTTACTCCGGGTGTTATTAGAGTTTCAATTGAGATTACTCCAACCAATAAAAACAAAATAGAAGGAAGGAATGATTGTCTCAGGAAATCAAGTTAATTAGTTACTCGTTGTCTTTACGGAATGTTCAACGTCGAATAGCTCATGAATAAAATTATGTAATAATGAGAAACAAATATATTTCGTAACAATAATAAAGTCTGAAAATATTCTATATTATATCTATATCTGGATAAATCCTAGAAATGTATTACAAAATCTTGCATTCCACGTTGTAGTTTTATTTTGTCTATAGGTTTTCCTGACTATTTAAAAACGTTTGTCATTCGATTTCACCGTTACTTCAGCTCAGACGAATTTGCTCTGTGCTGACGAACATGGTCGACATGGTGACTAAAGAGGGTGACCAATCTTTCACATTGAATGGTAAATGACTAAATTGGTTTTGGCAAAAGCGTGTGAAATTTAGAGTTAGAGTTGGTGAATTTGCATGGAAAATCTTTAAAAATAGCGAAGAAAACCTATATTATGGTAAAGATTTGAAATAATTTTAGGATGATAGCTTTTAAATTGGGCTGCAATAACCAGAATGTCTTCTCTTTTTCCGGACATAAACAGCAACAGCTCCTACAACAAGACCCACAATGACGACACCGAATAAGGCACCCACTATCGGACCGACTGATGCGCCGTGGGGGACAACTTGATCATCGTCTAGTAGATTCCCTCCCCCATTCTGATCCGGGTTGGTACCAGCACCACCACCACCACCGAACGGTACAAGCCCATCGAAGGCGCCGACCGGCTTCGGGATGTCCGGAGAGTCGATTGCCGGACTGAGACGGCCGTTCGACAACAACGGCCCCCGGTAACCACCGCCCGGAACTCCCAGCCCGTCACCAAAGTAGTAGGGGTTGATCTTCTCGGCCGAAGCTGGCCCCACCCCTGTGTCTAGATCCGTAGCCGCGCCTATTTGTATACCTGCCTCTCCCTCGCCTGCGTTCTGCGATATCGTGGGGTGCACGTCGTCGGGTGGTAGTTCGTACATGTTATAATCGACCAACGACTTTTTCGTTCCTGCAAAGTAGAACAGATTTAAGGGTATTGGCTATCTTCCTTAACAGATGGCATAGGGAAGGGGGGGGGCGTACCCGCAACAAATCCTCAAAATGTTCTATGCGGCACCAGCCGAAGTTAGGGCATTGCATCATTGTTCAACCTCGTTTCCATGTGTACGATCTTGCTGTGCCATGTTGTTACCCATCATGCCTTGCGCGATCTTAACGGAACGCGCATGCGCCCATGGAGTCGAGGCTGATTATTATTGTAAGTGATATTGCCTTTGTCATAATCGTCGATGTTTGCTGTATCACAACATATGCTACTGTGTCGTATCTCAGAGAATGCAGTTAGATTATGCTGCCATTTAGCGCTCTGAAATGACAATATGCAAGAACAGACAGAGGGTGCTCTTTCAATAGCCAACTATTTTCTTTAATTCAAGTGACTTATTAATTAATGGATGAATGAATTTGATAAACAAATATTTTTTTTGTGTCATCGCTCCCTCACCCTCTATTCATTTTCTTGCATAAAGACTCCTAAAAAGGCCAAATAAAAATGATTACACATGCAAAGCAAAAGCAAACCACAGACAGTTGAATAGCAAATCATAGAATGATGATAGTACAAATTAATCAAAAAAATAAAACTAAAAATTAACCAAAATCAGAAATAAAAGAGTTTGGCGGCGGCGGTGGCACAGCAGAACTGTTGGGTAAAAGTCGAGAAAAGTCAGAGAACTTGATGAATTAAAACAATACCAATGAAAACAAGCCCATCAGATTTCAACTTTATTAAACCAACTCCAATCATCTCCAACTTCCCTTTGCTTCACAAAATCTATATGAGTCCGTCTCTCAGTATCAAAATACGGCCTCCTTTTCTTGTCGTTAGTCGCTATTTACAAAGTGGCTCTTTTGTGATTCGAGGCCCCAGCCTTAATCAAGTAGACCTGCTCGACGAACGTTTGCAAAATGGCGTTAAGAGTAAGAAAGTGGTGAACAGTTTAGTCGAACATTTACAGACAAAGGTGATAAAATTACAATATCAAAATATTAATAATAGTATCCAATGCCATTTTGAGTGATGCTTGGGTGTGCAGTCCAATGCAGATATACAAACTTGAATAATAATATTATAATATATATTTTTTTTGCCTTTGGTCTAGCCATTGGCACGTCCTTTATATTCGCTCGGCTACAATAAAGAGGGAAAAATAAAAGCATCACATAATAACGGATGTTGTCTTAAAAACAGCTTCGATTCTTGTACTTAAACACCTGTTTTGAACCGTGACTCTTAGGATTAATTAATGCTAGGCTCATTTTGAGCAGGTACTGGAGTACTTGAGATATTCATACTTTACTGACTTTCATTGGTGTGTTTTGTTTATATTTCAAAAGAAGTTGCAAAAAGTCATCCTTTATTGCAGCATATTTTTTATTCATTTATAGGTGTATTGATAAAGTTCCATTCGTCTTTGGGTTTCGGACCACAGTTGGCGGTAAGTTCACGGTTTACACGGATCCAATGACTACCCTAGACTGGCGCCTCTGTCTGACCAGGAAGACAGCCACCAGAGCGAAGATACCAATGACGATCAGCACAGCCACTATCACACCCACCACCGTGCTAGCTGAAGCACCGATGGCCGAGACCTCATTGGCGTCGTTCTTTTTTTGCATTTCGTTGGCATCAAAGCCCCCGCCGGCCATGAGCCCAGGTACCAGGCCACCCGCGCCACCGCCACCACCGATAGCTTGCTCACCTGAAGATCGGCCTGTTCCGGGTCCCGGAAGTGGTTGAGCTCCTCCTACTGCGCCTGCGTTGTTACCGTCAAGGACAGCATGGAAGACATCAGCATTACCGAAGCCTGCCAGCTCGCCAGATGAGCCAGTCTTAGCGTTAGGGTCTGCGTTGGCGTACGGGTTGTTGTTGGCTACCTGCGGGCCACCGACAGGGATGGGGTTATGCTTTGGTGCTGTGGTGCTGGATTGCCCGGCCTGGTTGCCGCCGTTGCCGAAAGGTGCAGACTGACGGGGTGGGGCAGCCCATGCGGGTTGGATCTTAGAACCCGTTCCTTTGCCGAAGTCATTGAAGAACGGATCGTTCTGCTGACCAGCGGCTCCCATGTGGCCATTCATCTGGCCAGCTCCTCCCATGTGGCCATTCATCTGGGCAGCAACAAACCCTGCATGCAAAACAAAAAACCGCAATAAATACTCCAAAGCTTGGTGTTCCATATTAGTTTTAAGATTATGTTTTATGTACAAATGAAAAATATAAGAAAACATAAAGTTCTTTTAAACAATTTTTTTACCACATCATTCCAATTTCTGAAGAAAAAAAAGAAATGAGAAATGTTTGAAATATCCTACCAAAATATAAGGTCTGAATCTACATGCGCTGAAGTTACGACACATTTGGGGTAACAATATCGTTGGGTAAAAAGAAATAATTAATTTGAACTTTCCTGAAAATATCATCTCTAAAACTTTTCCATAACTCATTCTGAATGGATATTAAATTCGGTTTAACTTGAGCTGACAATTTGACATTTATACAGTGGCCTTGTAATTTTAAATTTTGTCATCACATTGGCAGCGATTTACTTCTCCCGCGGTCGAAGGTAAGTCACAAACAAGAAATGAGTCACAATGCCAATTTCCCCCTGGAATTATTTCATCATGACTTATCCCATTCTTAAATTAAACAGACACATCCTCCGATCATCTGGTCTATGTTTATAGTCTTAAACGAGCAGAGACTTTTACAATTGAAAAACAATTTTTGAAAGAGACATTAAAAAAACCCATTAATTATGAAGTGTTTCAACTCGTCAATGCAGTTCTTAAAGAAAAGACAATCCAAATTAAAAAAAATAAAGAAAATAATTTGCATTTAACGAATTTTGTATTGTGACAGTTTTGGAGACAGATATATTTCTGACCTATTCAAAAATATTTGGATTTTATTTTCGAAAACGAGAAAAGTTGCTGCATATTTTAACCAAAGTTATCGACAAAGAGGTTTCCGGCGTATTAACGCACATTAAGATTTGTTCGTTGGTTGTCGTTTGGTTTTTCAGAGAACGGACAACAGCCTAACGGAATGGCAACAACGAAAGTTAACGGGCAGCAACCGATGAACGATGGTGTCTGAGTTCAGCAATACTCACCAAGAAGGGGAAGGAAGACGAGAAAACCTTTCATGGTGATCGCTCGGAGTGGCTTGAGGATGAACAAGATGGCTGAACGAGACGAGAACTGCAGCTAGCTCGATGTGCACTCTGCGTTCACAAGCAGTCTTCAAGTGACTGGATTTGTACTCAGTCCTACCCCTTATAGCGCCAAACATGTACAGGGAGACTTGCTCATTCAAGGGAGGGGGCAAGGCCCTACGTGATTGGACTAATTCGATCAGGATACGACACTGTGACTGTCCCCTTATTACTCCGCTCTTGTTTTGTAGCGTGGGGTCCCTAGGGTGACCTCACGCTAACCCACGCAGGCATTGACGCACTTAGGTTAAGGCGACTCATCAATCTGTCGGATGTGGTCGCTAAAACTTTCTATATTCATCCTGAAGAAAGTAGATCCTACTACGATAAGTCTTAAGTTTAAGTAGGCATCAAAGCAAGTTCTTGAACATTTAATTCAATGTGAATGGTAAAAGGGAAAGGCTTTTTAAAACAGCTGACCAGACGAGCTTTAAATCATGCACAAGTGGATATAGGAAAGTATTGTTACTTAATTGAGATCATTTCTGAATCTGTCAGAGAATTGGTACCCCCAGTAGTGTAACAAACAGCCAAGTGTACGTAACGTCCATGCAACCCTAAAACCCCTAACATAACAATGGATACCATTTAAAACGGTTTGTTATCGTTAATAACGAAGTTAACTTTTTTTGGAGAAATTGTCATTATACATGACATAACACATGACAGAATGTGAACGTTTTCAAAAAACTTTGGCGTGAGTTTTCACAATTTGTCGCAGAAGGTTTTGAAATTGTAAAGTACATGAGTATTTTTTTATCGAAATATGTTTTTATGATGTCATTTAATTAGGATTTGAATAAAAAATTAACAATAGTAATTTGACAGTTTCTACATTTTTATTATATTAATTATATAATTAACCAAATAAAAGGTGACCTGGATTCAGCAAATTTAGTGTTTTGTTTTTTTTAAATTAACTTCCCCTTATATTTGACATCAACGCGGACCCGAGTATAATTGTTTAGTCACAGGTGTTTGATGGAACTACTTTCTTGATGGCACAGATGACGCCACACCACAGGGAAGTGATTAGCCCCCAGGTGTTCATAACACTCCTCATCGGTATCAAAACAATAAAATAAAAAAAAAGATTCTCACTTCTCAAGGAAACCATCATCACTTTAAGGACAACTCCTCCTGGGATGAACTTGGCGTTTTGCCATCCACAGGGTTAGTCAGGGGTCTACTTTAGGGGGTGATATGTCTCTGTCAAGTTTGTCAATCACGCTTCCCGATGCTGTCCGTAGAGGGCCCATGTTGTGTCCCCCGCCGCCCATAATTGACCAATTCTGTCCCTGGCAAATGTCTCAACCGGTAGGCGGAAGTTTCCGAGTCATGGGGAGTCATCACCATTGTCTTATTTTATAGACGTGCATTTGTACGAGTCGTGATAATTGTCCACAATCATCTTCCAATTGGGGCACTGTCCAAACCAGACGATCATGCACACTATCAGACAATAGATAGCGCTTTTCAGGGCGAGATTCTCAAGAAGGGCACTCGTAAAAGGCCGCCAGCTGTTACAAAAAGGGTACTTGTTTAAAAACAGGACACTCGTTTAAAAACAAATGGCAATCTTCAGAAATAATGGGGGGGGGGGGCGCAAACGGGTGAAAAAGGGCACCTCAGTGGAAAAGGGCACACTGTTAAAAATGCCCGTAAATTTACTTTATTCGGCTTTAGTGAAACATTGTTGATTCAGTACACGAAAGTAAATCTATAAACAACATTTTTGCACAAAGTCTTTAAGTAAGCCGAAATTCGGGTCAATTTGAACAGAAAACCCCCAAACTGAAGACTGTGCCTAAGAAAGTTACATCACAGCACCAGCGCCCTCAGTTGTCAGAAAAAAACATGGCGTGTTTAAAATGTCAAAAAAGTGGACTTTACAAAAATTTGAACCTCATGGTTTTCGTACAAAATAAATCCCAGTGTAAACCTCATGTCATGAACCCTTTAAAAAGTTGAGATGAGTCACCATGTTAGTAGAGTCAAAGTATACGTCAGAGTTTCCTTGACCCGCCCTCTATATCCTCCGGCACCAACTGAGGTTACAGAGATGTTAGTCTCCATTTTGAAGTTTTAACCCCCCTCCCGAACTGGGCATGCTCAAAATCACGTGACTAAAACTAAGATGTGAAGTAATCAATGAAATTGGCTTGCTTGACTGGAGCGTCGTTATTGGAAATACAGCACGTGCGCGTGCGATAATCGATAAGTCGACGAAAGAAACTATGGCACATAATTTTCATAAAAAATAAACTGAGTATTTTATTCGTTCAATACCAAATCGCACTTTCATACAAGCGGTTTTTTTTGTCACCCGATTTTAACACATCTACACTGTAAAAACTGCATTCAGAGTTTAAACACATTTCTAAACACTTAATTGTACCCGCTGTTTCACCTTTTTGAAACATCAAGCATAAATTGTTAAGGTAAATAAAAATGACATATGTTTGCAGTTGAATGACAGGATAGAAACCCACTTTTCTCATTCTTCTCTATAATCTGTCTCAGAAAAAAATGAACTTTGAAATATAAATTTGACTTTTTTTTATAACGAATTAACCCCTTACCAGCCAAACTCCAACACAAGTGTTTGGCACTAACAGGCGTTTCACACTGCTGTAAAAAAATATAAACATAGCCTACGCATATGCAAAGAGTTTGTACAAAAAAGTGTTTAAACTATAAGCACCATTTTGAAAGTGTACAAATCGCACGACATTTTTTTTCCGAAACACGTCAACAATGAACTATTTACAAAAAAAGTCATTTTTTATACAAACTATCCACTATTAAAATAGACCATTATTAATATAGATTCACAATTCTAATGCTAAGTATAATTATAAACAACTTTCCCATTGCATAACGCACAATGAGCACACGTTGCTACTGCAGGTTGCAGCGTGTGTATTGTGCTATACATTAAATGTCGCTACCATTGTTTCGTGGCATAGTTCCTAACAACTAAAGTTTACTTCAAGACGTGTGTCATATATACAGCATTTGCTGTACAAATTTCAGTCTGAAATCTCCACACTCTTGGTTAAGCCTTGCAACACAAAGTACTATACCATAAACAGCATCTAGCCAACAAAACATCAGCTTACAAAAAAAGTATTGCTCATATTCCCAAACTATACATCTCTTTAAAACTGTATTCTCAGGTTTGAAGAAATATTGCAGTAAATGAAAGATTTAAATTTCAACAAGTATATCAAAATAGGCCATACAAATTGATTAATTGTTTTACTTAATTCTAATGTCTTCCCTTGAAACCATCTTTACCCAGGGAATGTAACATGGGAATTCTTGCCTCTAGTAAATATAAGAAATCGATTTATGAATAGCTGTGTAACACCATTTACATAAAGTAAATCCAGGTTGTCCTTTTTTAAAATGTTTATCATTCGAATTCACCGTTTCAAATACTCAAATTCGTCCAACAACATCAATCTAGTGCACTTCCAATGTTAATTTTTGTCGTTTGTCAGATAGTTTCAAATTAAGTTCAAGCAAATTCAAACGATGAGAACACGTTCTTGTCCCGGAGTATTCGATTTCGTCCGTCGTCTACGCCAAACCGTGTTATTCAGAAATCAAATTCGTCTGATTGATTTATATAAGACGAATTCGATCTCTGAATACTGAGGGAACAGTTTAGACGAGATTGATCTGTAATGACGAATATTCTCGACCCGTGACTAAAGAGGGTGACCAAACTTCAACATTGAATGGTAAATGACGAAATTAGTTTTGTTAAAAGCGTGTGAATTTTTTTTGTGGATGAAATTGAACGATAGGGTTGGTGAATTTGAATGCAACATCTTTTACAATAGCCGGGAAACCCTATAATAAAAAAAAACAGCTGTCTTTTTGGCATTCAAAAATGTGCCGATATTTATCACTTTTCTTGATTTTCATTGCTGTTTTGTTTCAAAGACATTTTGAACCATGAGTCTTGCCGTTTCACGAAATCTGGAATCGTGGAATCTAAAAGTTCTTTCAGCTTTCTGGTTGTAGAATTGATATTGCTGTCTCATATAAAATATAAAATTCGCTTATTGAAGGAAGACTCGAATTTGGCATTAACACTTTCTTCTGTTTGTGTGTTACACACTTTATCAGCCCATAAAAATACAGTAAAAATGTCAGTTATACTTAAGTTGACGCTGGGCACACTTCACGGAAGTTAAGTTAATTATTTGTCAAGTTACACGGAAATAACTATTCAGTAAATTTGACCTCGTTCTAAATGAAGAACCAGGGAAATGGTTAATTATTGCATGTCACGTGTGTGAGACTGCGTGCACGTAGCTGTCAAATCCCCCATCATTTCAAAACGTCTCTCATTACAGAAAAACATATGGTACAGAATATCTACATCTATAAATAAACATAAAAGTATAACATTATATAATATAACTGAACCGCATTGAACGGAATTTCAAGGAGAGTCAATTATATTTTTTTTGATACGTGATTTTAAAAGGGTAAACACTATACAAAATGTTTGTGTTATTTCATCCAACTTTAATTGCTAGTTTAATGTATATTATATATGTCGTCTTACCATTTATTGTTTATACAATCTTTGTATTGAAAATAATTATAGTGTGGGATGGAAGGATAGTGCGACATGCAATCGCGCTAGCGCATGCGCAATGCCACGCTTGACTACAAGCCAATATCATAGCCGTGTCCGAGTTACTTTATGGCTGAGGCTAGAAATTACACACGCGGCTATACGCGGCTATGGAACTGGCCGTAGCCACTTCCCATAGTTATTTCTAGCCGTAGCCAAATAGTTTGGACGTGGCTCTGCACAGAGAAAATGAGTGCATTGAGCAGTATAGACGCCTTCACGGTGCGCCCTCACCCAGGGCAGTTTTTGTTATATAGATTCAGTGACAATGAAAGTACACAGAGTCTACTAATTAAAAATTGTATCACAGAGGAATAAAGAACCGCCTTGAATATAAGGGGGTATATGCGCGAAGAAGTGCAATTAGGTGACACCTGAATTAGGGCCAAGGAGGTGACACCTGAATCAGGGCCAATGAATTGCCTCGATTGCACAGCGACAGGTGCCACAGAAAATCTTGGGCCTTGGGTATTAATTGGTTCTTGGTCTTATGAAAGCCCCCTTTCTAGCGGATGGAATTTAATAGGCCTATGCTCAATGTTACCTTTCTTATCTACATTCTAAATCGGGAAACTGAGTCTAGACGCACGTACATCCGCTTAGAGGGAACAGTGAGCATACATACTTGATATATTCAAAATTGATCACCACATTCCGGACGCTGCTTCTATGTATACCAATGCAAAAGGGCATCTTATTATCTAGTCTATTCCAAAATGCAATATAATTAAAACCAATTTTTAGTGGGGATTAAAGCAATATATCGACATGGCCAAGAGGGCCACCTTTGTTTAAATTTTGCGGCCAATATAATCATTTCTCTCTCTAATTTGTCGGCCATAAAATTGGTGTCTTTGCTTGCCCCTCGGGTTCACGACGGATGCGTTTTGCCGCCCTCACACGTTGTTATCGAGAACTGTTTGGTTTAAATTATTGCCTTACGGTAAAAGACAGACAACCTTTTTCTTATCTATATCCACGGAATGATTAAGAGTTGTACCAAAATCTCAGAGGTATCAGATAAGTGTGGTACCCTGGCTACATATTGGAGCTCTCCGTGTTAATCGAGTCATTATAGGAGCGGGTATCCATCTCCTTCCATGCCACAGCGTCTTTGCTGTCCATGCTGAAGTGCTCGTATTTGCCGATGCGCGACTTCCGCCTCTGTCGCACTAAGACGATGACAAGAAAGACGACAATGGCGATGAAGAGCAGGCCACCGAAGACGACAGCTATGATGTGGCCGGTAGAGGGCGGATTAGATTGCTTGCTCTTCCCCGTCCCGTTATCCTTAACCCCCGTAGACTTGGGAGTGGCTTCTATTTTTGGTAGAACATTGTTATCCTCCCTTGGGGTGGTTTTGCCAGGGGTGCTTGGCCTGTTTACATCCGTAGTTTGGCTGTCACTCGTTGTCTCAATCTCCTCCAATAATGTGGTTTCCACCAGCTCAATCTTAGGACTCGTTGCGTCTTCGGTCTCTGGCTCCTGCGACTGCGTGTTGACCTCTGTACCTCCTCCCATGCCCGAAGGTCCTTCATCGGTGTCGGTCTCCTCGTCGATTGGCGTGGTGAACTCAGTATCACTGCTGATTGGGTAGGAGGACTCCTGGAAGTCCGAATCGAAGTCACTCCAGGAGTCGGAACCGTGATGGGGTATCGCCCGTGGAGTTGTGCGTGGGGTTGTGCGCTGGGTTGTGGCTGGGATTGTTGTCACGGCTGACGACAGACGGAAAGACATTACAACATTTTAGGAACCATTAAAACAAGAAATTCTTAAACCTTCTCTTGCCAATACACCCAAAATGGAAGTTACCCCCACCCCAACAGGAAAGGACACAATTTTTCATATTTCATTCAAGAAGCTCAAGGTATTCGCTTTACATCACATTTCATTTCCCAAGATGTATCAAGATCCAAACTGACCATGCAGCATTTTAAGTTTATTTAATTAATTTGCTTGCCAACCTTATTGCTAAATAAAACAGCCTTGCTCTTACAGGTCACGTGAATTTCCAAACCCATATTGCAAAGGCGCTGGAAGGGGTAGGCTAAATAGAGTTTCTTCATAATTGGCATTAAATGTCATTAGCTCAAATTATAAAAGACATGAGGGTAAAATCTGTTATCAAACTTTTCAGGCCTCTTTTTCTTTTATGGACTTTTAAGTCACCTTTCATTCTTTCTCCAATTAAAGTGTCACATAGCTGTGAGACAGTAAAACAGCGATGATGCAAATAGGAGGGGGACCAAACACCACCCCGTACCAGTTTATGAGTCCAAGTACCAGTTGAATTATTCGTGTACAGAAATAACCCCGTTTAACTCATAGGCCGGAAATCTTGACTCAAGCACCGATGGCTTCACGCACCGTGAGTCACTCGGAAGCCACACGGGCTGAAAATAGCCGTGACTCGGCAAGGCCGGTACCGAGCACGGCCTGGCACAGTTCCCAGGGCTGGGACTATTTATAAACCCGGGACGAATGGGCTCGGGAATACGGTGGCCGGTGGTTGGGACACGGGAGATATGGCACAGGATGGTTTATATGGATGGGACGGCACAATGTTGCCTAGTTTAGCGAAAGATTAGGTGGGAGTTTTTAGCCGTTTATTTCTGGCTGGGCGAATGGCACAAATCCAAGGAAAATGGTAGATTAGAGGATAAGCCAAAAGAAAATTGTTTGTACGAATTTTTTATTGTTTTATCTTCAGGAAAGTGCATTCCTCGTTCTTGGATTTGATTGTTTCAAGAAAAATCTCTTTCAGAAATATCTTTCGGGTCCAAAATGAATCCGAACAAATACGTTTTCACACCATTATAATTATGTTTCATAAGGTTTTATAGCAAAATAAAGGCCTGCTAAACTTGACTTCAATAACTGAGCAGGTTATGAATACTTGTGCGAAAAAATTGACACTTTGCATTAAAAAGACAGAGGGCGCTAGATAATGCATAATAGGGTGCAGACCTGTAAATCAAGTATACCTCAGTCATACTTGCACGTACTTCCAAAAATTATTACAAATTATTCAAAACTCTCCAAGGTGTTTGACACAACCATCCAATTAAAGCTTATTTGATAATCTTTCATTTTCTGTTCAATTTTTGGATGGTAATTCGATGGCCTTTGAGAGAAAATTCCATCAAAAGATGATCACCCCTACAAGAAGTTATGTGGCATTTTGAAAAGTGATGGCTGCGCTCCATTGCAAAGTAGAGCAATTTTAGAGCTCAATGTCATCCAAATTTCACCAAAATTTCACAGAAATACGAGGTCGCACTACTGAGCACGGCTTCCAGCCATTTTTTCCCCACAAATCTTTAAGTTCATGGTCCACAGAATTCTCTAATAGCTAGAAATTGAGGGCGTACATATCGTGATTTGACCCGCGTAGGCAATTCTGGGCCTATTTACAGGTCTGCACCCATGAAGCCCAATCCATTCATCATGCTTTCATTACAGAGGGCGCTATTTCTTGGAGAATCAAATCATGTTGGCTAATTCTCCCTTAAAAACCCCAAACGAACAAACAAGTGAGACAATCCACGTTTTCCATTGGAAGTCTTCATACTTCAAACTTTCTAATGTCAATAAACTTAAAATGTCTACTTAATAACCAAATCTCAATCTTCAAAATAAGAAATAATAGCTGAAAAGGTATAGCTGCATCTTTGCTGCATGACTCAGTAGGCCATGACTTTAATGATTGATGTGCCTAACCCGGCGGAGGGCGCTATTACCAAATATTAGCTCTAATAAACCGAGTACGAATCCATTGGAGTGAAATAATACTTTGTTGGTCAAAATATTCATTTCGGACAGAGGGCGCTCTTACCTTGTTCGCAGTATCTTCCTTGCCAATTTAAAGGGCAGATGCAGTCATGACGGTTGTCTAAATTGAGACACACTCCACCGTTCAGACATGGGTCACTGAGACATTCATCAACGTCTGCAGGAAAATGCAATCAATTTCCAGTTTTAAAAAATTCTGCTCTAATATTTCAACACATTTGTTTGACAGAGTAACAACCAAACCAAACTTTATAGCCAAAACATCCGGTGTTTGTTTGACGTCTTAAAAAACGAAGTTAAAGTAAGGGCCAGGTTCGGGCAAGGACCAGTCGACTAGTGGTTGATTTGTGACGTAGCTTACGCTTGCGCACTAATAACAACGTGCAAACGTCTCTAGTCAAACTCTGGTCAAAATGTCATTGCAAAACTTCTGGGTCCTGGCTCCCTGCTGTACGTTATCATGCGCGCGGCTATTGGTTTCAGCGATGCAACCACCCCAGTAAGTTGGTTCCAAATTAGCCTTGGTCAAGGCGCTAGTTGTTTTTTATCCGGCCGTAGCGCGGTAATGCATGCAGTCATAATGTCTATGCGCTATGTATGCAGTACAGTGCATTAAAAATACAGCGCGAACAGCGACCTCACGCGGCCACTATTTTTATGCAAATCAGTTGGACCCAATATAGCGCCTTGGTTCAATCGTCCATGTGAGGTTTTTGGGGTGGTGCTTATTATGTTAATAGCCTTAGCTGACCTTAAATGTCGTTTTCTTATTGGTCGATCGTTGCGGGAAAACTTGCTTAGTAAAACGTGGCACACTGTACATAATCCATACATGTACACGTACACGTTATGTGTCTCTGCACACGGCACCAATGCACAAAAACTGTGGTTCCTGTCACGTCCGCAAAAGGCGAATAGCTAGCTGCAAACAATTTGATGACGTCCGGATTTACCAAGGTGTGATTGGACACTCCACATATTAGCCCCGCCTACACTTATCTGTATTCGCATACGAGGTCGTGCGCTAGAAATCCAGCGCAAAATAAAGAAAAACATAAGCTTTTGCCGACGATTGAACCAAGGCGCGATATTGGGTCCAACTAATTTGCATAGAAATGGTGGCCGCATGAGGTCGCTGTTCGCGCTGTATTTTTAATGCACTGCATAATGCATGGCCCTAGCGAGGATATCGTTTACGCGCCACTGCCGGGATGAATAACATTTAGCGCCTTGACCAAGGCTAGTTCCAAATAGTCGTCTAGCGTAGTCAACCATCGTCGACTAGACAGAGTTCGGGCTAACTTCAGTCGAACTATGGTTAACCAATGGTCAACAATAGTTCTTGCGCGAACTTGCCCCAGGCTGTTTATTATAATGTACACTTCATGAGGTGAGTAAATAGGGCCTTATTCTTTTCCGAAATTAAGGGGGCTGTTTGGGGGCATGAGCATCCCTGAATTGTGATTTATCATTTCTAAATGCTTATTTAAAACAAAGCAATTTTTTTGAAGAGTGCATTTTTCCTAGTAGCGCCCTCTGCTGTTCAGGTTTGGTCAGTTTGTACACAACACTCACCGATCTCACAATGGACCCCGGTGAATCCTGGGTAGCACAGACATTCATATTGGTTGGCGCCCTCTATGCACTCGCCACGGAGGCATGGACTGCTCGCACACTCTGATATATCTACAAAGAAATAGCGGCAAAACAATGACTTCCCTATTCAGACAGAAAAAAGTCTTGGAAAACCTGAGATGTCGGAAAGTGATTAGTAAATGTAGTTTTAACTTTAGTAAAAAAAATAAGACTTGTTAGTATAACATGCAATCCTTCAAGAAAATCGCTACCTTTTAAACACTTTGGCATATTTTTGTCTCGAGTTTGTCTAAATGCTCTAGAAAAATGTTCAAAAATACTTTCATGCACCTGGAGGTTTTTCCAACAATGTTTTGTGTTTTTTTTCCCTTCCGGCTTCCTTGGTGGACGTTTGCATCGGGGTGAAGGGTAATGTTAATACAAATATTGCCGGCCCTTCGGAATTGTTATAGTTGAGTGCCTAAAGGGTCCTCATTGCAGGTCAATTTCAAGTCACGATAAGCAGCTGTTCTGATTATCTGTGACAAAGGCATTCCTTTATTATTGCTCAACCCCTGTTAACTGTGACTGGACATAATGACGGACATGTGGTTGACTCGACCACAACAATGCCTTCACTAGTGTTGTGTGCTGCCTCCTGACGCCAAAAGGTACATGTCTTCATTTAAATCTAATAAGAATAATTTAATGGGTCCGCCATGTTACAAATCTTAATGTTCCTGACAGTTCATATGCTCTGCCCGTCGTCAGAAGACCTCAGGGATTCCAAGGCTGAACAACCTAACCACCCTTCATCGTAATTTCTTTCATTTCTAGGTAGACGTTAAAAATAAATGGATAGAAGAGTCAGATTCCCATCTACCTGTGGCGCAGGTCGGCCCGGTCCAGCCTGCCGTACAGGAACAGTTGAAGCCATCCAACAAATCCTGGCAGGTTGCCCCGTTCCGACAGGGTAAGCTCAAACATTCATTCACCTCTAAATAAAGAAAAAACACAGAAAAGAACAGCCGATTACCTTCCATGTTTCAAAAGACAGTACAATGGGGTTTTTTTTAACTCAATATTAAAACATCGCCCTCTGGAGAACAGGTGGACCGCTCTTATGGTAGTCAGGTGTGTTACTGATCAATGCAGTGAATAGAACGGGAATTATATGGGAATGTCCTCCTCAAGGTACACTGTTACTTAAATCTGTGACTTGAGCAAGGGTGCATTTTAACAAGCTCGATCGGATCTCGGAAGATGCTGGGCATCGATTTCGTCTTCTTGCATGGGTCATGTGATTGTGCCACGTAATTTCTGGAAGCACGGTTTTGAGTAAAGAAAAAAAAAAGTTTTTTGACCCCAGTGACCCCATGATGACCTTTGACCCCAGTTTAGTCATGTGACATGTTGGGACTGGGCTACTGATACTTTTGACAAAGTTTGATTGAAATCGGTCAAAATATGTAGCAGCAATATATAGAAAATGTCACTGTTTGGTACTAACTAAAACGGAGAGACAAGATGATTTGTTGAGATGCTATCCTGTAGCTAAAAATATCCAGATTATATTTCTTACCTAGTTCACAATTGGATCCTTGCCAACCACGTGGGCAGTAGCATATGTAGAGTCGGTTGCCGACGCCATGATAGCACGTGCCGCCGTTTGTACACGGGTTGCTTTTACACTCGTCAAAATCTGAAACAAGAAGGTCAAATACTTTAAAAAGTTACCGTCATTCCAGGACAGTGTAAGGCGACTAACCACCTGTTACACTCTGAAAGGTTCATATAGTTCCGGTTTCTTTATCTCAAACTGCGTTGTCATAATTCATTGGTCGAGGTGTTGCAGATGCGGAACCCCATTTTCAGGATAAGATTTTCAGAAAAGTCAAATCTCGGTTTCAGAATACGGATAAGATTTTCATTCATAAATGATTTTCAAATACGTATATATTCTTGGGAATAACTATAACAGGTTTCCCCCTACTCAAATTGTCATCAAGTTTGTATCATTTGAAGCATTTGCTATAGTTGCTGGTTTGACCTTTGACCTTACCAAATTGACACTCTGGTCCGGTCCATTCAGGCGGACAGTGGCACACGTAACCGTTGGTCTGGTCTTCGCATCTGCCGCCATGTTGGCAGGGGGAGCTCCCACACTCGTTGATCTCTGACAATGGGGCAAATGAGATATCACACGGTCAGTTATGGGTGCAACCTTGTTTCAACATTCTCATAGACACAAGTGCTCAATGCCCATACTTCAAAATTCTCTTTTCATTTTATGGTGGGTTGACCATTGACTTTTCGAGATATTCTCACCCAAAGAAGACGACCCCTATTTTCCCCAAAGCGGAAAAGTAGCCATCTTGAAAAATGTTGTCCTAAAACGATCCAATTGAGATGCAGGAATCAGTATTTTCACTTGCAAACTTACCTATCTCGCAATTTATACCGTCAAACCCCTCCGGACACGTACAGTTGTATCCCCTTAGGTCGTCAGTGCATGTACCGTTGTTAAGACAAGGTTCGCTGGTGCAGAAGTCTGCCTCTGTTAAGAATATGCAATGTCTTCGTTTAACTGAGTCGGAGAAAACTCAGAAGTATAATACAATGGCGGCATCTTTACAGACTTTACCTTATTTGATGTCTAGTGAATGACGTGCTTTCAAAGAATACTTTTTTAATTGCAAAATAACGGCAGCCAAAGCTCAAAAAAAGAATAAAAGAGGAGGATGTGTTGCTTTCCGGTGAGGATTATATGTGTTGAAAATGTCAATTTAGCTTAATCTCTGACTACAAATTAACTGTTTTATAATGAGCCATTTTTCACCGGTGCATTTTATCGCAGGGAGCATATTCAAATCGAGGCGGGTTTGTCTCACGAGCAAAGTGTTCAAGCAAAGTGTCATATATGCAAATTAATGTACAAACGAGTCATAAACGTTGTAAAAAAACCTGCCTGAAAGTCTTAAAAACAAAGGGAACATGCACAAGTTGCAGTTTTGTTGTTTTAATCCCAGCTGTACTATCGCTGACGCCCATAATGCATTTGCCAATACAAATAGGTATCCTATTGAGATCTTTCATATTACTTATCTTCGGTAGTTTCACTGTTGATCACTGTGAGCATTGTAATCGTGAGAAGAGAGATATAGAAACATTCGTACCTAATTCACACGTGAATCCTCTGTACCATTCTGTACATCTGCACTCAAATCCATTCGGCAAATCTATGCATGTTCCATTATTCATACAAGGCTGGGTGAGGCAATCGTCGATGTCTGAAAGAAACCAATGTATAGAATACATGTAATGATTTACTTTCTCGAAATGTTCAAAATGATATCCATGTATGATACCAAAATATTCTTCGTAACCTTAGCTCATTTCAGCCTACCTATTTCACAGTTGACGCCCTTAAAGCCTGGCGTACACGTGCATGTGTATGAGTCCACTCCGTCCACGCATGTAGCTGCATTCTGACACGGACTACTCGCACATTCATCTGAAAACGGTAAGTAAAGGTTTGAACTGTAAAGGTTAATTGTATATTGTAGAAGCTCACGTTATTTTGCAAGTTGAGAAAAGATGTACATAAAGTTTCCGTTGTCTTGTCCTTTGGAAGACTTTTGAAACGCTTGGTGGCAGCAAACACGTCCGGTCCTTTTCTATTCTCGACATAATTTTGAACATGCGCACATTAACTTGAACATGAGGCAAACAATAACGAAAAGGACCGGTGTGTTTGCTGCCAGCCAGCGTCTCAAACTTCTCCCATTGTCATCAATAACGGAGTAAGAACACTTTTTCCTGGGATGAAATTATCCAGTCAGTTGTGCCGGGACTTGGTTTTAAATTCTTGTTTCATTGCGACATTTTGGTGCATATCTAGTCTTCTCCTGAAAATAGTTTTGTTTCAGTTCATACATGCTATATTTGCCAAAGTGTAATACTTGTATGCCATAAATCCATGGATTGTTGTGTACGAATTAATTTGTTAACGCAAATGACAAAAAACGGTATTACATCGAGTTGTCAATTTCTTCTTCGCTGTGCATCATCACAGTAAGGATGGTTAGCATTTACTTACCGTCAATACAGACACCACAGCTGTAGTGACAATTGGCCATCATGTAGTAAGGATTCTTCGTGCATTCTCCGAGTTTTTTCCACTTTGGACAACTCTCATGGGAGTCTTCACAAACTAGCACCAAAGGGAAACAATCCAATTATAAATCGTGCATAGGTAAAATGTCGTCGTATGGAATTACTATAAAATGGACGCTGTTAAATTTGGTTTTTCCGCCCTCGCTCTCAATTTTTTTCTCAGTCAAACTAGTAGCATTATAAATTTTAAAACCATGTGTTTTCGATAATATTTCGGGAAGTTTTTAATGTTTCTATATGTTGGAATTTTAGTCCAAATTTAGCCCGTCACGGGAAAACCCTCTTCAGTCTTGTGCAAATATAGAATCAAATATCATCGACTCGGTTTATTTCGTAAGCGTAGCCTTTGCTCCATTTATCTTGGATTGTTTATGGTAGTTTCTGATAATACCAGTAGCTACTTAACAATCTACAAATTCAGCATATTTGCATTGTTGACGTCAATAAATCAGAAACCGTGCAACATGTTTGAATTCTGTGCCATCTACACGTTAGATTACAATAACCTAAACTTCAAATCACTTACTGTAGTTTTGGCACACACCGCAAGCTTTCTGGCAGTATATCAGCATGTAGTTGGGGTTGACTTTGCACTCTCCTACAGCCGCCCAGTACATGCAATTTTTATTGCTGTCGGCACACTCTATGTATTCAAGTAACAAAAAAACGGATGAAATCAAATTTAGGTATTTTTAAAGTCCCTCCCGAAATGTAAGATCAGATGGAGAACGAACCCGTTTTGATCTGGCTAATGAAGTTCAAATTGTTAATTTTATTATTATTAGGCCGTGATAGAGGTGTAATATAGACTTGACTCAAAAGCGATATTAAGACAGAATAAGTTACCAGAACTACCCCATGTTAAAGCTCATTGCAATCCAAATACAATCTTAACAACTGTTTTCAGAATTGTCTGGAAAACAGTGAACTAAATTTTAAACTGTTCAACATTAAAATACGAGAACACTTTTCATCTACGGGCAGTCGTAATGACGCTACACCCGTGATTTTGCCATTTTCATAGTCGTATCAGACACCTTCCATTCTTGTCATGGGTTAACTCCACCGGCTCTTGTTTGACATTCTGTGATCTTACCGATCAAGGTGAATGTGATATAGCCTCACCTAAGTCGCAGTTTTGGCTGTGCCAGCCGCGGGGGCAGGTGCAGTTATAACCCCCTATCGTGTTGTTACACATCCCACCGTTTTGGCAAGGACTGGTAGGGAGTGAGCACTCGTCGACGTCTGGAAACGAGACCATCAATCAAAGAATCAAATTTAACATTTATTATCGAATGAGAATATTTGCAAGGTGTATGACTTGAATAATTTATTTTAAGTAAAGAGAATTTGTAAACATTTTACAGATGTTTGTGTTTTGATTTGACAATGTAATGACATCAACAAGTCAATTCTCTTTACTTTTTTTGTATAAGCAAAGCATTGTGAACGATACACATGCACAGTAACAGTCGGTTCCAATTCGTGCAGAAATGAAGGCAAGCCTTGCAAAATGCGTCAGTGACAACTTACTTACCACCTGCTAGCTCTCTACAAAACAATAAAGCAATGCAATTAAATCACTTAAAAACAACATTTATTTTCACACGTCAATACGGCAAGATATTTACTGTAACAGTTGTGGAGGCATCTTTCCAAAAACCGAAGCTTATGGTGAATGTGCCCCAGAAAACAAAACAAAACAAGACTGATGAAGAAATCGCAATTGTTATCTCAACGATCGAGTCGTCCATTCATGTCATTAACGACAAGTCACAAACTTGCAAGTTGCAATGTCTGTTTTACTTTTTAATCCACCCCTCATTCGTCAAATTTGGCTTTATATCTTCCACTCAATGAAACACCGTTGTGAAATTTAGTAAGTAAGATTTGAGGCTTTGCATGGTGGAGATACTAAATAATGAAAGGTTTGCGGAAACACCATGTGCGAATAATTTCTCAACAATTTAGTAAGTTGCCATAAAACCTGACATGTTGCGCATGAAAAAGTTACAAAAATAATGAAAACGTTTTGTTAATTAAAGCATCTTTCAAGTTTGACTTTACTCCAAAATAGCCAAAAGGCTTGCACGGTTTGCTTTAAAATCCGACGTCTTGGGCGATCTCTATGATCAATTAATCAAAGAACAACAATAGAGGAAATCAGACCATTTCACTAGTGTAAACTAGTACATATCGTCGGTCTGTCTCCCTACCTTCTTCACAGTTCTCCCCTGTCCATCCTGATGGGCACAAGCATTCGTAACGGTCGAAGAAGCTGGAGCACGTAGCGTCGTTCTGGCACGGAGAACTTGCACATTTGTCAATACTTGCGCGATCTGGACACAGTGATTAAACACAATAAAAGGTGTGATTAGGCCTATGGTTTACCTTGGGTTTTGTGCTTGACCAGAGGGCTAGCCTAGTGTCCTATCTGTACCTACTTGACTGACTGATCCACCGCCTGACTGACTAACTGTCACTTGTGATTAGACTGTTTGTAGTCTAATGAAGAGACGGGCTAAATCGAGCCCATTGTGTAGACCAAATGCATGAAGAGAACTCAGTGAAAACAAAAACATTCTGAATCAATTACTTAGAAGTATGTGAGCTCTGGGACCAGCTTTAATAGGCTTTCCTGCTCCTGGTTTTTCTTCAATATCTTCAGCAGACTGGAGCATAAGTCGTGCTTATTTTGTAACCTTCGAATGGGTTTAAGGTAAAGCATGCAAGTTCTTTTTTATTCCATACAAACAAACTTCTGTGGTCCTTTTTTCCCCCGCTGAGCACGTCTTACCAATCTCGCAGTCTCCCCCGGTATACCGCTCGGTGCACAGGCACTCGTACCGGTCGGTAAAACTACTGCATGTCGCCTCGTTCTGGCACGGGTTGCTCAGGCACTTGTCCACATTACTCGTATCTGAAAATAAGACGGAAAACATGGAAATATGTTGAATATTACAATAGTTGAACATAGGTAAATGTGTTTTCATTATCTGATGTCACAAGTTAACGCATGGGGGACAGCATGGCGAATCCAAATGTTTCAGAACAGATTAAGATGCACTTGTGGTGATGATGTCTTGTTTTTATCAGATGAAAATGCCCACATGGGAAATATTTTTTTTATAATAATATTAATAATAATAATAATAATAAATAGAGCATTTATAAATCGCTTTTAACAAATCTCAAAGCGCTGTACAAAACCACAAATAAACAAGAAAAAAAGAAACAAATACAAGAAAACCAGGAGATATTAGGCCAATTGTGATTCAATGAACGGATGCGTTTTTAGCAATTTCTTGAAAATAGACACCGATGACGAAAGTCGGATCTGTGTTTTCTTCTTGAGATATTTTGACAAGACTTTTACCTATTTCGCAATTAGTTCCCAACCACTCGGGAGTGCAGATGCACATGTACGTCTCTTCTCGGACGGTACCCCGGCAGGTTCCATCATTCTGACACGGTTGGCTCTCGCACGGGTCTGTCAACTGTACTTCTGAATATCAAGAGGGAAAGAGGACATTGTCAAAAAATTCTGAAATTAAAATTATCCTAAATTGTTATCTGAAGACATTCTATGTGACATTTGTTTCTAGCTTTTTAATGAAAAACATATGTTAATGAAGTTTCGGATTTGTAAGTTACTGGTGGTTATGGGGCTGGGGCAGTATTGGGCCTGAAGCTGGGACAAACAACTTTTTTAGGGGATTGACATTTGGGTAATTGTTATTATTTTTACTCGTTTACTTTAATGTCATTTGGATGTATTTATAAGTACTGTGTACTAGATTTATTTCCTGTCACGACTTGATGCAATTCAATCTGTGATTGCCACATCTTGTCTTAAAAAAACCCAAATAAACATTTATAATAATTCTTTTTCACTTGAAAGTGAGTACAAAAGGGGTGTGTTTGAGATGTTGCATCCGATGGTACATTAAAATGAACCATAAGGTATCAATGATGCAAAATAAGGTACCAATGAAAAACTTATGGTACAGTATAATGAACCATAAGGTATCAATGATGCAAAATAAGGTACCAATGGAAAACTCATGGTACATTATAATGAACCATAAGGTATCAATGATGCAAAATAAGGTACCAATGGAAAACTTATGGTACATTATAATGAACCATAAGGTATCAATGATGCAAAATAAGGTACCAATGGAAAACTTATGACCCATCCTTTAAGATGACGCCACTTTGGCAATGTAAGGTTTCATGACTGTTACATATCATTACTCTGACATATCAACTCACTGTTTTCGGATATATATAATTTAAGTTATAGTTGGTGCATACGTTTTTTTTCGGGTGTGGCATCTTAAAAATGTCGGGACTATTGTTTTAGTGAAGTTCTGTATGTACATGTAGCACTTTCATAATCAAGAATATGAAAGCCTAATTCATTCGCTTTCTTTTAGTACAGGAATCATTCAAATCACTCATGTACTTTTCAAGTTATGATATTTTAAACACAACCACCGTTTTAAAGTTCTGTCCACGGATCACAAAAAAGTGTGCGCTCTTTCAGCAAAACAAAAACAATTAACACACATCCCTATGTGATATGTTTTCGTTTTGCTGAAAGAACGCTGAACTTTTTTGTGATCCGTGGACAGAACCTTAAAACGGTGGTTGTGTTTAAGATTCCGTAACTTGAAAAGTACATGAGTGATTTGAATAATTCTTGTACTCAAAGAAAGCTTATGAATTGGGCTTTCATATCCTAGATTTTGAAAGTGCTTCATGCAGAACTTCACTAAAACAATTGTCCCGACATTTGGATTTCGTGGTTTTTTTTACTCACCCTGTAGTAAAACTAACCTCCCTCGGTGATCAATGGAGCCTTTCATTTCCCTCGACTACACCTCAGGAAAACAGAGCATTCCATGGATCACCACGGGAGGTTAGTCTTACTACACCTCTTGAAGCAGTCAACATTTTGTATAGTATCGTGTTTGATGGATAATAGTGCAAAACTGTGTACCTGTTTCACAGTTAAATCCAACGAACCCTTCACGACATGTGCATGTGTAGCTTCCGTCTGGTTGAGGGATGCAAACACCGCCAGGCCGACAGGGACTGACCTCACAAGGATCTGGAATGTCCTCTTTGATGTCAGAGGAGAAAGAGGATAGACAGAACACAATTCTTTAAGATGGACAAATACAAATCAATGAATTCATGTAGCAAGCCAAATCGAGGAACATTTTCGATAGTTTGTGTGTTGATTTCACTGACAGGAATGATACATTTTCTGTACCAAATTTTATTATAGGCCTAAAGACAAAACAGTTTTTTTCTTCTGATACCAACGACATAAGTTTCATGTAATTAAATAGTTATACTAGGTCTATATAGGTATAATGTACCTTTAGACCATAATCATCAATATTATTAATTATTTCCCCTCACTCACCAATTTCGCAATCCCCACCGGTCCAGCCCTCTTTGCAGTCACACTCGTAGTATGTGGTGAAGTTGTAGCAGGTAGCCTCGTTTTGGCACGGGTTGGGGTCACACCCAGAGGAGGAGTCTGTGTCCTCTGTAACCATGGTAACATGCACATGCAAAGGATGCAATGGGGACGGTTACCAGTGATGCAAAAATGAAATACACAATGCAGCAAACGGTATGCATTTCAAGACATTGCTTCCAAATCGCCCAACTACACTGTCTCTTAAGATATGTATTAACATTTGGGTGGTTAAAACTTTTTTAACCTACCAAATGTTAATACATGTTTTGTGAGTGTACCATTAGCTTAACTCTGTTAAACGGCAAGTTCCTTGCTCTTAGGTTAATAAACAATCCACTTATGATCCACCTCTTAGAAAAAAATCCAAATAGGTAGTATTCCAGGTTAAAAAAAATCCCCAATTATGATGAGAATTCATGTTAAGAGGTGCGGAAAGCGTTTTTGTTGTATTCCCGTTGCTTTTTGGAGATGCATAATCACGAACGATGCGGGTACTACACCTTGAAAATTGTTAAGATTTTTTTTACCAGGATCTTTGGGCAAATTTCCATTTTGTATCAAGTGCCACGATGAAATATTGAGGCGTGACATAGTGGGGAAAATGATGAGTGGGCGTGACATTTCTGTACGATCGCCCAAAGGACATAGGTCAAAATAACAGGCTGGGATCCGGACAAATGGTTGGAAGAAACTTAAGCGAATTAAGATCAAATACAAGCCCAGTTCCTTCCAAGGGATTAAACTATCATTCTAAACCAATTTCTGTGACGGAGAGCATGCATTTGGAGGATTCGGGAGGGGAAGGAAAAGGTTGAAATTACAAACCAGAATTAAGACGGAACATAAAGTATCCTGCGGGCTTGAATAACAGGCTATGAGCAATTTCATCTGGGTATTGCTTTACAAGGGGTAACCTGACTAGGGGTTCAATTATAGCTTGGCGCACACTTGAGATGGGTGCCCTTTAAGAGTGGGAACATCGCTATGATAAGTTTTTTTTCTTCAAATTGAGCTGAGCAGTTTTAAACCATTGAAAAATATTAGGGATTAGTTTTGCGGGATAATGTTTGTAACTCATGCCACTGTGTGATTATTTTATCCATGAAAGGAAATCCTCACTGAAGTGCTGGTTAGGGGTAAATTTGTCCGCGGAAAAAACTTCTTTGGGCGAGTGTACTGATTAATAGGCAGGACAAAATGTTGGGTTTGACGTCTCCTTTTTGAACTATTATGCACCCTATGTTTCAGTTTTGGGTTAATTGTTTTTTAAGATAATTCATGCGACAAACGTTAATTGGTCGGTGATGTTCCAAACGGAAAGGACTTATTGCATTCCCCCAGATCGACATTGGAAGGAACCAAGCTTTTCTGTCTGATGGATAAAGGGAAGATTTGAGACGGTTAAAACTCTGGTGATCGTTATATTTTTGCGGGAGAAAATCTTCCACCATTTACTTCATGTTGGTGAATGAAGTCATCGGCACTCATCTTCCCTCTGTAGATTAATGTGTGGGACACGCCCTTCGCTAGTGATAATTAACATTTCCCAGGCAGCATTTGTGAAAAGCAAAACTTGGGGATGCAAAGCCACCGAGATGGTTATCCTCATGTCCAAAATGCCTCATTATCTCAGCCATTTATTTCTATAATAGTGCAAATAAGGACATTTACAATACTGGAACACAATTCTGACACTGAGGAAAAAATCCGTTGTGGAAAAAAATCAAGTGAAAACGTTACAACTGATCTGTACTATGAAAAGCCCTTTTCAGAGACTATATGACTGGTGACGAACAAAAATGGGAGGGCACATATCACCACCAATTAGCACTACAAAATACAAGGACGTGCAAATGCAAAAATGCAAAAGATTAGATATCAAAGTTCGAAGGTGGCCAAGTGCCAAAGGTCTCACCGATTTCGCAGTTTTCACCCGTCCAGCCTAGCGGGCATTCGCAGGTGTAGGTCGTGCTGTTGATGACTACACAATGACCGTCGTTCACGCAGGGCCGGCTGGAACACGAACTTCTCAAAAGTTCTAGATAAAATCACACAACAAACTCTCAACTAGTGCACATTTAATCAAACACAAGCTTAGGGGAAATGACTAGGTGAATTTCAAATGATATAATTGAGCATAGAAATTGACCAGAACGGGGTTTGAATCTGCGATTTCCGTAATACCTTGCCAGCCCTATTTTGGTGGTTCCCAAGACTTTTGCTGGCAGTTCCCCAGTTCGACAAATCGGGGAACTCCCAGCATAGGACAGGATATTTCTAATCACTGTGCATTTAAACAAAAGCAATATTTAATGACACTGCCCGACTTTTCTTGTCCAGTCTGGTGCTAATTGCCACTATAAGGGGAAGGTAAACATCCCTACCAATTTAATGACACTACCCGACTTTTCTTGTCCAGTCTGGTGCTAATTGCTACTATAAGGGGAAGGTAAACATCCCTACCAATCCATCTCTAAGTGATTCAACATAAAGGCGCAAACTCATCGTGATGCAATCGTCGAAATGCAAATTGTTCAGACCTAAAAGTTTGCCAATTCTCAACGGACTCATCTGTCATCCAACATATCGAGGCCTTACTTCCCCAACCATGACCTTGTACTCCAATTTTCTTTTTCTTTTAGCTACCACCGTGAATCCACACCCATAATCTGATCTCCCGTGTGTATTGATGATTAATCTATAGAAAAAAATGTTCTATTGGAAGGCTCCAGGTACATGCTCGTTTGAGTTAGTCTCGCATGTTACCACCAATAAAACATGCTGACACGGTGTGCAAAAACACGGGGATGGTAGCAGGTCCGGCCGTGCCCCCTAAGGGCTCACCTCTGTTGCAGTTCACTCCTCCCCATCCTTCCGTGCAGTTACACCTGTACCCCCCAATCACCTGCTGGCAACTACCGCCATGGCTGCATGGGTTCGGAGAACAGTTATCCCTCCTGGACTCGTTTCTCTGTACTGGTGAAAAATAAAGGGAACAGGCAAAGCCCATTAAGGCTTTTCACTGGAACTCTTTCTATCAAGGGAAATTTGGTCTACACAATGGGCCGGATTTGTGTGTTGCCGGGTAATCCTATACGATAACACTGCGAGGCTCACGGTGACAATAAGTGAGGAAGTGTGTCAGTCAATCAGTCGGGGAGTCAGTCAGTCAGTCAGTCAGTCTGTGACATAGATATGAAGAGGACACTCAGCCTCTGGGACCAGCACAAATTATCGGGTTGAAATATTTTTATCAATGTTGTTAAGCTGCCGTGAATGTGCTTATTATGTAGTCCAAATTTTGGCCCACGGAGTGTAACAACTCTTAAGTGCACTTTTTGCTCAGCGACAAATGTAATGACATCGATCATTTGTGACGGCAAGAGGCAGCTATCTGTCTATCATGCAGATCGAACTATCTGGCCTCACCTTATCGCTCACACTAATTCATTAGGGATCCTGCGCACAGGTGCCGGCTAACAGCTGGGGTCATGATAGCTTAATTACGTAATTCTCCCGAACAGGAAAAAAATTGCTAAATTATTGTCAGTCAGGATTTGGACATTTTCGTCTTTCACGACCGAACAAAATCTGGCAGTATTGTGCCCTAACAGCTGTGTGGAATTAATCGACGGTCCCAGCCAAAATATTGACCTTTAGCAGATGTGTGCGTTTTGGCCCAACGCCAGAGGTTGGTACGTTTCAGTTTCCTTCGTAGGAACATTTCAACGAACCGGGAAAAATCTGACATTTAAAGCCACAAACATTTTAACGCTGTGCGTTGCAAGGAAGGAAGTATCCCTCCCCTTGCAACGCACAGCTTGCTTCTGGTTGGCGCCTCATAGTAACCAAATGTTTGCTGTTTCATCATAAGAAGCATTCAAGCGTAAACAAAAACAAGTTTCCTCCAGCAATTGCAAAGATAACTTCCTCACTCTAATTTTGGGGGCCTGCTAAAATAGCAAATTTAGTCCTTCCCTTTCCTACTTCCCTTGAATTCATTTCCAGGGACATGCAGACACTGTAGCAACATTAACGTTCACTTGGCGGCTCTTTGACGAAAGGAAAGTTGTATTTTCCAACTAAAAAGCATTTTCTATGTTCTGCACGCTTTTTAGTCTTGCAAAGTCATTGTTTTCATTACTTTCAAAGTTTGATATCTGGTAATTCCGATGGAAAAAAGAATCTGGAACCTCCCTATTTTACATTTTAACTTTGAAAATGGTGCCTATAATTTTTTGTACCCCTTTTTTACAGGTTTAGTCTTAGCCGTGTTTAGTTTATTTGTTTTTTCATTGCACAGTCCGAATAGGGCTAATTGACATCAAGAATAAACAGTAAAAATGACAAGGTTATGTTTTGGATTGCGTTTTTTTCTCAGATTATATGGTGATAAAAAAGAAAGAGGAAAGTGCGTATTTACCCTGTGTTTGGACTTGATCCCCATAATTCATGTTCATTTACTTTCACAATTTACACTTGATGGTACTAACAGGCTTTCGTATGAGGAAACGAAGCTCCACATTCCCAAAAACAGCTTAATTATGTATGCTATCAAACTAGCAGTTGAATTATAATTATTGGTTTTCACGGTGTAATAACCCTAAGCAGTAGCGGATCTAGGCCGGGGCGTGCAACACCCCCTCCCCCACCCCCACCCACCCCCCCCCCCACCCCCACCCCCCCGTTCAGCCGCTGACTTATGTTATGATACTAGCAACATGGGGCCAAAGATAAAAACAAAAATGGAATGCTAAAGTTCCTACATTTATTCTCAAATTGCCTTAGAAGAAAGGAGAAAGCATCGTAAATTTCAAAAATTTTCTGGGGGCATGCCACCGTGCGTCCGGTACGCCTTCACTCACCCCCCCCCCCCCATATCACCCCCCCCCCGTTTCCTGAAGCTAGACCCGCCCCTGTAAGGACAGACCAACTTTAATAAACCTTCTGATCAAGGATGACCGTTGCATTGACGTATACATGGCATGCACGACATATGGATTCTAAATTGATATAATTTCCCAGTGACATTTGAATAATTGCTAGAAATCGCTTTCAATTTCAAGACTTGGGGGAATCTTACATTCTCTGAGTGACTCAGCAGTGATGCAGTGCGGACCTAGAAGCCTGACATCATCGATGGCAATATCCCCAGAGGAACCATCCCCCCGGATTCCCTCAAAAACAACCTTGAAAGAGAGAGAAAAAAACATCAAGACAGTAATTGGAAATGTTACTTTGATGTACATGCTGTCCCGGATGCCTATAACCTCCTTTCAAATTTATGTGCTGATTCATAACGAGTGGCGAGACAAATTTAATGACATGTCTTCAATCAAAGTCTAAGATAGGGCGTTCACTTTACATTTTTCTAAAGGAAATATAGGCTGCTTTTTATTTATCTGACATCACTGCATGATGATCAAAATGACTGGGAAAATGACTAAGTGGAACTGAATAAATAAATAAATAAGTGCCAAAATATTAGATTTCAGACTGTTTCTTTGATGGTTTGCACGTTTTTGTGTGTGTGTGTGGGGGGGGGGATTTAAAGCGAATCTAATTTGTTTGTTTTTTAATTTAACTGAATCAGAACGTTTTAATAAACTAAACGCAAAAGAAGGAAGTACATCATTCTGGCATTATCATCAAAGCATATTTCATTGATTCCGATGTCATGATATTCATGACCTTCACGTAATTAGGGTAAGAGTGACCTTATTACAAACTGTCTTGCTAAATTGTTCACAATACTAGATTATCCGTAAACAGTGAGACAGCGCCCTCACCCGATAGCTGCCGACAATGTTGGTGATGTTGAAATGACCCTCGATCCAAATGTTGCCATGGTCGCCCGCTTGAGTGAAGTAAGGCTCCCCAAGATGGCCGGGATGTTTCATGATGTGCACCTGCATTTACGGGGAGGAATAAAAATGAGCACCCTTAACATAGATCTGAAATTACGGGCCTACATCTAGATTAACCAGTCCCACAAAACTGGTTTAAAAAAAGATGGAATTTAGAAGTTGAGGAAGCATAGCGGCATAAAGAAAAAAAGGTTAAAAGAGAAAAACATCAGAAGTTGAAGTTGAGTTCATTTGTTGACTTAATTTGTTTGATGATTTCGCACGTGTGATTGCCACTTGGTGGCGCCCTTGTGAACCGTTAAATCTGACTCAGTTCAAACCTTGAGATGGCCCACGTGCTCGCCGTACATGTGGTACCAGAACGACACGTCGCAATCGCCTTGGATCTTGGTGTAGCGGGGGCTCAGGAGATGGGCTTTCTCCCCCTGATTCGGGCCCGTTGCCTCGATGTACTTGTAAGTTCCTATCAAGAGCAACATTGAAACTTTTCATGAGAACTACATTATACTCTGACACAAATAGGCTACTCATCCACAATATTTGCATTTGATGATATTGGAAAGCATTTCACGCAAATGCATGGTAACAAATCACATTCGATCAGCAAATGACCATTCTTGGAGGCACATGAGGAATCCTAATCAAAGTCACAAAACTGACAATGTCATATAACAGTTAGAAACACGGCAGTTCGTCCCCTGAGTCCAGTGGATAGATCCACGGGATGATATTTCAATTTTTCTCTTCAATAATTCACAATGAAGCCTGAAAAAGCTTCCTATACGTGCATGCCTCATAGCCGAGAGCTTCATTTTAGGGATTTCGTGAATTACAAAATTATATTAGTATGTAATCCTCTTTGGCCTAACATTCTTTAGTTATGATGTCTCAGCATATTTCCTTAGGATTTTTACAAGGACCCAATCCCGTTATGGGACTTCAGCACACTTTCCTTTATTTTCCCATAACATGAGCTCTTATCGAAATATATATAGAAGTTTGCGGGTAAAATGGCTATTAATTTGGCAATTGAGAATTTCGAAAGTAAGCTCTCACTCCATAAAACAATCAGCTCTTTTTATTTTCCATTTTAAGACGGCTGCCGATATATTATCGGAGTTTACTAGTTTTAACCCGCCTGAAATACATTCAACACGCACAAAAGCTGCATCATGTTTCAACGGAGAAAGGAAGACAGCGGTTGGAGATTTAGAAGTTGTAGAAGAGGATTGTCGATCACTGCTTTATCTGTCCATCCATTGCACTCATACCTCCGGTGTAATCATTGAATTATCGTCTACCTGAGGAAATGGCTTGCAGTAACGGAATGGATCTGATAATGTGACGTGTTCCATGATGAGTCACTTAATTAATTCAGAACATGAATTACCGGAACATTAGTTGACAGTGATGAAGGACCTGCAGAACATGAGGACCATATAATAAACAGGTGGTTTATACACTGAATAGAGTAAATCTATTCAGCCTTGATGTTGCAAAGCTGAAAATATATCTTTGCAAGTTTCTGCGCTCAGTAAATAATTCGGCCGAGAATTAGTCACCACGCAACACCAATTGCACGAAAAGCTATGATTATATAATAAGCAAATATATTTGTGCTTAGCGAATGTCTATGATAAAGACCTCCAGGATATTGACCACGGTCATTTGGGGAATGTATACATATTATTCGTAAACAAAATGTGGATTTCAAAAAGCTACATTCAACAAGCCGAGATTATGACTGAAGTCTATGTCAGTATGCTGAATAGGTAACTGTGGGGGGAAAAGACTGGTTCCACTGATATTTAAAATTTCTGCCCAAACAACACACGAGGAATTCGTTGGCATGATTGCGCGGGAACCAGACTTCGCTTCAGGAAGCTCATTGACTTATCAATTCGTCAGGGTGATTTTGCTGCGTTGATTTCAGGTCCATCAAGGTCAAATCACAAGTCAAATCACAACTCAGGTCATGAGTTACGACAAGGGTAGGCTTCAGTCTTGTAATCGAGTAGTCGAGTACATCACAAGTCCTCCATTCTCAAGTCAAGTCAATAGCTATTGAGAAGACAGGTGCTAAATGTATCCATTTGTTGTTGTTCGTCACCTGTTACATGTATGACTGGAATTGATTCGACTACAACACCGAAAGACAGTGACAATGGTTGTCATTTTCGTACAGTTACTGTAAATAGCTGGTGACTTGAGCTCAAGACTGAATGGCCCGTGATTAACATCTGCGGATTGGTGAGGACTTGACTGTAGAACTTTTCTCATTTGAATGACAGATTGATTGGTTTCAGATTGTTTCAATTAGCCCAACTTCTTCCAGTCTGCTTCCCAGATCCGAAATGCCGGTGCAGCGATGGCGAATGACGCCCGTTGGGGAGACAGACTGGCATCGAAGTTGAATTTAGAAGAAAAAAAATCAGTGAAATTGACGGACTTGTCTTTTCTTTTTCTTCAAATTTTGGTGACTTGGCACTCAGTGGCGCTCTCCGTGCCGTGGTTCTTGCCTGAATGTCACGGTGGCAATCCAGGGGAAATCGAGCACAAGTCACGGTGTGAGCTAACGGAAGCTTATCACTAACCAGCTATTTTGTCCCTAGTGGTTACACATCCGTTTTGCACAAAAGTTTACAAGTTAGGACCATGCAGGATAGGCACGAGAGAAGACGCAGTGGGGAACAAAAGAGGAATCTGTTATTAGTTATCGAAGCCAGAGGAACAAGTACTTACAAGATAAGGCAAACGTAAAAGGCTGGTCGCAGAACGCACATAATTCAATTCAATTGATTCAGAATGGTTATTTACTGGAAGCTCCTTTTCATATAATCTAGTCTACACAATGGGTCGGATTTGTCCCATTCATTAGCGATATGGTGTAAGCCTATGCGATAGCACTGCCCGGCTAACAAGTGACAATGAGCAGTGAATCAGTCAGTGAGAAAGGGTACAAAGCGGACACTAACAGGCTGACCCCTTCGTGACCAGAAAAACATAACTCCACAACCACTCAAGACCGATGGCGATTGTTGAACCATGAAGGTGGATTATTTTACCTCCATGGTTAAACTGAGTAATGAGCATTCGTAACGCCATTTTGTAAAAGGCCTAGCCGTGTATGCGAGTTCAAGTAATGGTATTCCGTTATATTATACTCGTGCTGCTCAGTCTCGAGCGAAAAGAGGGCTTCACCAAATCTTGGTACACTCTTGCAGTACGATTTTGTCTTTAAAGGTACACTCAGAGAGTGTGCCTCTATATTTTATATGAGCCCCCTGCATTCAGCTTATATCCGCCTTTAACTCAACCCGGGCAGGGTATAGACAGTGAGTGGTAAGGCTACCGTACCGAGACCACACCCAGCAGTTAGGAAATATGGACAATTTGGAAGGAAAAAAAAAAGTTGCTCACGTGTTTAAGGAGGGGGCAATACCCTTGTACCCGTTACTCCCTTTGGGGTGCCTTTGGCTGAAATAAACCTGCAAGAGGGACCGCAAAGGGGGATTTCTTGTCGCATGGAGACAAAGTCCAGTTGTGTACGGCAACTGGGGTGTTCTCCTGGGGATCAGTTGGTGACTCAGTCACGGGCCAGGTAATGCTCGGCCGTTCATTGACTCTCACGTTACGCCAGGTACTCAGAATAGTGGCGTAATTTCTTATCATCACAAGGCACAATAACCAAGAGACATTTCAAAAAGGTCAGTCGTGTGCAGATGGAGTCAGGGTTTGTTAGTTTGTAACGCATGAATTGGGTGGCATGAAATATAAGGGAGATACGGCGCCAAAAGGTATACCAACACAAGATGCTTAGTCGATCACAGAATTCATTCTTTTTGAGACTGAAACCTGCTTTCAATACACTAGGTGCTAATTTGCACCAACAATCCCAAAATCTTAACCATTAATAAGCCGTATCGCTAAAAATTTTACAGTAGAGCTTATTCAACGGCCAACGCACCCTGTACTTTCGGAAGTTCAGGCTTCGGAACTATTTTGGTCTACAAAATAATGTCTGTACCAGACAGGTTTGATTTTACTCAGATACAATGGAAAATGTGTACAGAAGGAAGTATATCCATTGTTGTGTTACCGGTGGAATGCCCCTTTGGAAACCAGTAACGGGGACGGTAGTTTCCGCTCCAAACATTACAGACATGATTGAACCTCTCGCATGCATGTATACGCTACCTTTAAAGAGCTTTCAAAACATGTCCATTTTATTTTCAACTCGAAAAGTTGTTAAAGGCCTTTGCCTCTGTAGCGCAAATTATCTTTAAACGAATTGCAATTAACAATTTCCTTATTTGTTAACCTTGAGTACCCAATTGAATGAGTTCTAATTCTTAACGATTTTTTAATTGTTTCCCAAAGGACAGTGCCCCGCGCCCCCTGTTCAATTTTTAAAGTTCTGGCACGAGTTTCCACATGCCACTTGGTGGTCGATCTGTCTGTCCCGAAAATTGATCGAAAGTATGGTAATCCATAATTATGTGCCATCGGATTCGCATTTTTCGGCGTCGCATTTTTCAGCTCTTACAGGGATTATTTTGATCGATTTCATGCAAGACTGTCATGCAAGACTTCTTGCAACATGGCCAGATCTTCTTGTGCACTCGCACTTGTTTTTACATCAATGCTTTGGATTTTATTATACTTTTCATATATCGAATCAGTTTTATGTCTGTGTTTTGGTCGCTTCCTCAGATCGGCCTTTTTGAGTGTCTAAATTCTTGAAAATTGTCTTGAAGTGGTCTCCACAATTTCTTTAATTTTGAGTATGAATTAATATTTCATTGCCTTTTTTTAGTTTTTGTTGAGGCCTTATTTCGGCCACCGTCTACTCGACCACTGCTTCTCAATTTGGTCACTGCATTAGTTCGACCATCAACTGCCTCGCTTTTGCCAAGTCAGCTACTGATGATAGTTTGTCATCTGCCCTAATTCAGCACCTGTCCTGTTAACTGTCTTAATTGGACAACTGTCCTTCCTCGGCTGCTATCTTAATTTGGCCACTGTGTAACTCGACAACTGTTCTTAATCCGGTAGCTTCCTTGACTCAGGCACTGTTTGATTTCAGCCTCTGAATTAGTCTGGATGCTGCCTTAATCCGCAGGCTGTCATTATTCGGTCATTGCTTTTATTCGGTCATTACCTTCAACCGGTAGCTCCATTAGCTTTGACTGTGGCTTGATTCGGCACAAGTCACTGTTGGGCGAATGCCCTAATTCGACAAATGCCGCCATTTGGCAACTAATGAGGCACAGCTTAATAAGAATACTACGACTACTACTACTAATAATAAACAGTTCTTATACAGCTCATGATACATTTAAGGCTCTATGCGCTTGTTTAAGTAAACAGGTGAGTTTCAACAAGTAGTTTGAATTGCTCCAAGGTGGGACAGTTTTTGATATGGTTTGGGAGATCGTTCCATAGTTTGGGAGCAGTGAATTGAAAGGCTCGTTGACCGTATGATTGGGTGAAAACCCGGATATGGAGTGAGAAAATCTTTGGAACTACCTCGATAAGGCAATCACCTGAGCTCACCAACTCCCTTTGATACTCCATAACTGCTCAAGTCATTGCTTTCTGTTCGGCACCAGTCTAAATTCGACTACATGTACTGCCTTCTAATAGGCTCTATCTGAATTCATTATTTACGCTTCTCAGGCCATTAATTTACTCACCTTCAGTTATAATAAGGCAACTGCAGTCATTGTTTTTCGGTAGAACACCCGCAGTGTTAATATGTGTTACGCTTCAGATATCCATTGCCATTTTTGGACTCACCTCTGGATTGTTCCAAGGTGTGGTCGATAGCTGGTCCCGTCCGTCTTGTGGGCGTCTTCCCTGTGTTCTCCTGCCAGTCGAAGTGGTCCTCGCTCGCCTCCTCGAAGAGACAAGGGGGCTCGATGGGTACCAAGCCTCCGGCGCTCTCGAAGGTACAATCTGCTGCCAGGTCTGGTCAGGAGATAGAATAGTGAAAAGACGTAGCATAAGCTTAATAAATACTCCATAATGGCATCTGTGGTTTGGATGTGCTCTTGACTATATTAGATTGAACAGATTATGAGTCAGGCATCTGCGTCCATTGCGTTCTTAAAGCCGTCCTTTCGTCAGTCTTTCTTTATATTAGGATGTCGAAATCCGATTGCAATGCTCGTAGATGTTTTTCTGGGTTTTTTTCAGGAAAGCCTTAGATGTGTTTTTCGTATTGGCACTGAGAAGCCATTGTATATAGTACTGGAGGATCCAAAGGGTTATGTAAATGATGAACAATGCATTTGTTTTACAGAATAAAACGACCTGATTTTACAACTATCATCAGTCTGTCATTGAATTAAATCTACATCTTCTTTCTTGCCAACCTGTCAGTTTAATGTCATCATTATCCAATTCCAAACTTCAAGTAATCCTTGTTGCCTGGGGCAGGCACCCCTCTTTGCCTCTTTGACTCTGAACTAGGCCTACTTTCTATTAACCCGATTAAAGCACCATCCGTTCAGCTTTAATCTCGTTAACAATTGTTCCGGACGGTTTTTCACGACATGGTTTTCAACTAAGCGAGGGGCACTTCTCGGCAGCGAAGGGTAACGGGTCTCTTGCCTTGAGGTGTAATCGTGGACTAAGCTTGGATCGAGAAATAATTTCTCCTCTTGAAAGAAGCTTCCTCTCTGCTGAGAAGTCTCACCAGTTGCCTTGCAGAGTCTTAGCCAGAGGTTCTTAATATCCCATTGCTCCAGAGGGTGCTTGCTTTTCAACACTTGTGTAAGATTTGCTTCCTCGGTATTAATGATGAAGGAGGAGAACCATGGATAATTGCAATTAAAAGTAGATGGAGCATTATTTTTTATCCTCAATGAAGGAAGGAAACGATCTTGCATCACCGCGTTATGTCTCAAGGCAATCATTGACAACAAGGGAAGCATCTGTGATGTAGTTCCTCGTGTTATACACAGATGTTTTGCTGGCAACGGAACACAATTTTCATAAGTAGCAAGTTGTAATAAGTAACTTGGGTGACGGGCTTATCTGTTTTTGTGTGTGTTTATTTTGTGGAAAATCGAAGTATCAAAATCACTAGTCATCAGGTGTAATCGGAATGGCGCCATTTTGTTTCAAAATAAAGTTTAAATGTAACAGACCATTAGAATTCACATGCTAAGTAGTAACTTGTGGAGAACAAAAAATACTCTTCAAAACGGTTTTACTGAAAAGAGTGTAGCAACAACCAAGGAGGAAGAACAATCGCTGAAAAGATCTCAGCAACAGAATGTGGAAAGTAGGCATACGAATCCACCAATTTAAAAAAAAAAATTGAAAACACTCGCTCGAAAATCAAGTCCACCTTGGCAACTGCCGCCAAATTCCTCAGGGTCTTCCCAACTTCGTCTTCAATTAGAAAAGTGGGGTCTTTTTTGTCTCTCCAGAAAGTCAGAGTTCACGGAAGGGGCACATGATGCATGACTCAATGTTCTACCCAGAACAGGAACAATGCAGGTCGTGAGATAGCATATTCATCTTGAAAAGGAACATCTGCACTCGCTAATAAACTCAGATTTTAGTTCATTTGTCATTCTGTTACAGGGAACAGCAGGCAAATATCATTACAAATTATTATGATAACTGTTTCCCATTGTGTAGATTAATTTAATTAACTGCCATTTGGAACTCTCGTCATCACGTATCTGCCTTAGCTCCTAGAGCTCCTAAAGTTGAGCTCCTTCGACCCCCTTGGGCGAGGAAGACACCCTGGAATAGGGGAGGGAAATTCTTTTTCAACCCTCCATGAGAACTTGCACTGCCAACGACCTTTACAAATCCAGGTTAACCCGGGACACCAGGACAGCATCCGAAACATCTGTAACATATCTGTATATGCCTGACCAGACACAATGTTCCCGTAAGCGAGGGAAGCTGACTCGAGGGTTGGGTGCCCTGCGTTAATGCACTGCGTGGCTCGACCCTAGAAGGTAAAGTTAAGCTTTAAATTAAGGAAGCCAACAATTAAGGTCCAATAAGGCAGTGTCGAAAATTGACCCAGTTACTCAGATGAGGCATTACCGTGTATCGCAGTCTGTACAACCTAGTCGAAAGTAGGGACTCGATACTGAGGAAATAGCTGTGCGTGTTCCTTAAAAAAAAAAAAAGTTGAATCGTTCTCATCTCGAAGAGAAGGAATCGATCCGTAATTAGTAAGGTTCTTATAATATTTAGTTATGAGTAATATTTTATCTCACCATCTGAGTCGATTTTGAAGTTAAGTGTCAATGTTGTAAGAGATATGATCCGTTTTCCATTCGAATAAAAAGAATCGATTCTTACCATTTATCGTGATGTCGTCGATGGCTATGTCTCCGGCTACTCCCTTACCGACTGCAGCTTCAAAGACAACCTGAAACAATGATAATTATTACCATTAAAGATACCCCCAAAAAACCCAAAAGTTCATTCTTGTCGGACGTTTCCTGGGATTGTGTTTAAAGAGAAAGAAAATTACAAATTTCTGGAATAAAATTGGACGATTACCTTTAAGTGATCAAAAAAAATCTTGATCTTAGGAAAGACCCTTCTCTCTAAAGAAAACCTTTTTCCTAGGCTTCCATATATTCAACAGAACCTCTTTAACCTGCAATAGATTCGATGCGTCTTTTCTTTCACATCGGGGTGGGTCCGTTATTTCCTCTTTCATGACCTAAGTCAGCCATGACGCCCCCACCCTCAACCGCCACGCCCCCGATAAGACATTACTTCCCTGTTCGCAATTGCCATGAGATACTCAGTCCGCCGTCTGTGCAATTGCATGGTTGCATCAGTACAATAAGGCACACATCTACCTCCCGTAAAGTGATAGACCAAATTCATAAAATCTGGGTGTATATCCGGACTGGACCAATTTCAATTAGTGTAATTAATGCAGGTAGTTTATATCACGATTGGACCTTTCTTATAGTAATTTTGGGACGGACTAGAGTTGATTTCAGTTTCTTTTCGAACGTCATTTCGAACCAAAAGCATTGCTTCCTAAAGGGAAGAGTTTAGGGCGCTATGGAATTCAGGGACGGGATACCTTTGGAAGAAAAAAAAGATTTTCGACTCCTTACCAAAAGCAACAATTTTTCAGCTTACTAGAAAGTTGCACCTGTCACGCTCAATGTCCTCAAGCCAAAAGCTCGACTGATTTCAAATATCCGGGTTTGCAAAAGATTCCTGAAAAACACTTTATTTTTTCTTAATTCACAAATCTCTCATCAACTCAATCCCATTTCAACTAAGATATCGTTTCAGTGTGACACACTTTTAAGGCGACCTTTCTCCCTAGAGAAAAATCTGGATGTAGGTATACAGTCAAAGATATAGTAATAAGGAAGATATGGCGGCTATCGCTGATGGAAGGTTTGCTTAGGTCAAAGGTCTACTCTATACTTATTGCTTACACAAAACAAAAGTCCTAATAATGATTACTATGAGTAATGATTTTTAGCTGCGGGATAGCAGATCAACAAATCATCATGTCTCTCCGTTAGTTAGTTAGTTAGTTAGTTAGTTAGTTAGTTAATTAGTTAGTTAGTAACAAACGTTGACATTGTCTATTGCTCCTACATAATTATTTTGACCGATTTCAACCAAACTTTGTCAAAAGTATCAGCAGCCCAGCCCCATGGCACATGACCAAACTGGCTCTAAGATCATCACGGGGGTCACTCGGGTAAAAAAAGCCCTGATTTTGTTTTTACTCAAAACACTTTTCCTTCCAGAAATTAAATGGGACAATCACTTGAATCATGCATGAACACGAATTCGTGGCCCGCAGCATATTTTAGATCGAGCTTGTTAAGCAACAAGTGATATCTGTGGGTTTTTTGCCTTCGTTCGGTAGATTTTCTGCACACAGGACCGTCAGAGTTTTTTTTTCGAAAACGACCATTACTAAAAACAATTTTCAGCGGTTTTGTGAATGCTACATAATGTTTCCAGGAAAAGACACAATATTTCGAGGAAAGGACGATTTGCTAATTTTTGAAACTTCCTGCTTAATACGAATACTAAAAAAACTGTCGAAATTGATATATGCCACAAAGTGCAGGCCTATATGTCAGAATCTTGAAATAAAAATTATTTGGTGCATAAGGCCAATATGACTCATTTGGTAAGACTGGGGCATAAAATTTGCACAACCGTTCTGGCAGAAATTCAATGCAAATCGTTATTTTTTTTCTCTCTCTCTTGCGTCGGTACTTTTCGCAAATTCGGCATCCATTCAAGACAAGAAGGCATTAAACGGAAAGATCTAATCCGAATTGTCTGGACATGGATTACGCATGGGAAATGGCACACAGGAAAACACAGTGTTCCTGTCAAATAAAAAGGTTTCCTTTCTAATTCACAAAGTAAAGGATGATGGAAAGTTAAGGTTCTTGAATGCGATGGGAATTATTTTCAGGGATGGGCCAAAGCAAAACTCTAGAAACGGAAGATATATGTATATTTTTAGGCCAAGGGGAGGACAGAGGAAACAAAATGTAAGTTTTGTTATTGGTATATAAATATCTAGAGCGGAAGCCATATTGTGTTTCACAATCACACGTAAGCACTAACAAGGATACTCTTTAAAGAGTGACAATTCACTCCATTCGAGTGAAGATTCACTCCCACAGTGGGAAACTAGGGACTAGACGTTTTAGAGTGAAATTTCTTCAATCGTAATGATCGAGTTTCACTCGAGCTTCGACTGAATCGAAAATGAGAGTGTCGATCGAAAATGAGAGTGATTTTCACTCTATATTTCACTCTAATTTCACTCTTTGCAATTTAGAGAGTAGCAACAAAATGATTACAACTTTGTGGGTATGTTCCCATAGCTAAATATACCCCAATAGTATAACCTGCTTTGTTGAAAAAAACAGCTAATTATTTATTTAAAAAAAATATATATAGCTACATGTATTTATGCTCAGGGATAAAAAAAAAAATTACTTCCGGGATTTCAGAATTTGTTTTAATCTCATATAAGGAGGATCGTTTGTCTTGGTCAAGAACGTATAGCTACCATGCTGTCTAATTTAGTTGAGAACGGTTATTACAGGCATTAAATTTCACGAACGATTTGTAAGTTTGAGTATCTGAAGTCAACTAAGTAATATTATTTGTATCTCGCAAGATAGCTGGGTAATTAACTTTAGTGTCAAGAATTAAAAGAAGGTACAGAAACTCATTCTGAAAAAATTATTCCACTTCAGATTTGATGCGTTCCATATGCTAAAGTAGGTCCAGTCAACGTGCGGGGTATGCACGTGTAAAGACGGGCCTCTTACAATTTTGTCTGGGGCGAGGTTGGGGCGGGACAGTCCGTTTTTCCTTTCTAATGACCGTATTTCCTTGAATTTTTCACAAGGGGTATTAACAGATTCGGGTCATGCGTCTAAGATTGTCTGGTCCAAACTGCAGTGCTATTCCTTTGTTGGAATTCGTCTGTCTAACTGTTGTGCGCTAAAAGAAGCACCATCAAGTTACGAGTTTTAACTCTGCTCTGTACAAGACATTATTTAGACGCCATCGCACTATACACGTTCAATGGTGATTGTGCGCATGCTCTATGTTACGTCACACACAATGAAAAGCAAATGTGCTGCCACCAAGCGTTTCGAACGTGTCGTGGGTCAAGTATACGGTTCAATTCAAAACAAGTATGCCATGATTTCTGGTGGAAAGCTTTGCCTCCATGTAATAAATGTTCCGCGAAGTGGGGCAATGTAAAGAGAAAGTGTAATAAAGAACATTAATGTTATTTTATATTCACGGTGGAATTGTAAATACGTTTCAGCCTTAACCACATTGTCCACGGCTGTCAGCGCATTTATTTTCTTCTAACAGGAATTATATTGCCAATAATATAAACTTTCGACAGCAGTGGTTCAGCTCAGGTTCCAAACTTTCGCAAAAGACGCAGGGACTTGCATACACCCTAACTGTCCAACCTTGCCGAGAATTCGCATTGTCATCACCGCGCGCAGCGAATTTGATCTGACCGTCTCTCGCGCTCAGTTCCCGGTGGACGTCGTGCGTGAGTTACCGGTGAGTGTACGCCTTATCTCGGACGTATAACAGAATTTCTTCAGTATCTCCAGGGATATCTCCTCATCCAAATCCCAGGAAATGTGTGTTGTTTTCTCCCACCGAGGTCACTGAGGAGGAAATTTACATTTCGCTAACAAGAACTCTTGAGATTTCCTATTATTGTCAAAGTGGTGTTGTTGTGGGAAGTTAAGAGTTAGCCATTTTGTTTTGATGTAAGATCTACTCGGAAAAGCGATCAGCGATTGGTAAACTGATTGTGACAATAACACGATCAGATCATGCCACGGAGAGTACAATGATATTGTTCGGAAAAAGGAGTTATGAATTTTACAGCCATTTCGTCTTACACTGTTTCAGGACCTGTGTGTGTTATACTGTGTATGTCATTAGATGTTGGTCAACAAAATGGCGTCACAGTGCTTCAAACATCAAATTTCATTTTCCATTTTTTATTTTTTATTTGAGCGGCTGAATAAAATGCCCAAAGATGTCATCCGATCAATCACAAGTCAAATACAAGTCAATCACAAGTCAATCACAAATCAGTCACAAATTCACAAGTCACATTTTACAAGTTAGTGACAGCGGATGAAAAGCTTCTCACTTGACTGAGATGACTCGTGATTGACTTGTGATGACAGGCATGATTGACCTGTAATTGACCTTTGATTGACCCGTGACTGACCTAGTGGTCGACCCCTGATGACTTGTGATGACTGAATTACAAATCTGGCTCAGAAACATTTCACTTCCGATCTCACCTTGACTGTACTATTTGCAGGTAGTCGTATCTCCCCCATGTGCCAAATCACACCTAGGTTCCCCCTCCGTCTCCACACGGGTGAAGGCGGGCTAGTATCTCCCCTCACCGCCACAAACACCGCCATTCCACCGATCTGTTTGCCGAACATGAAGTAGTAGAACCTGAGCAGTTTCCGTTGCGGGCCGATGGTCAGCGTGGGGCTGGTCAAACGAGCCCGGGATCGTTTGGGGAGGCGTTGCAGGCCCTTCCTGGTTTCAATCGACGACCTGGCAAGCATGTACTTGCCACCTGTTGAGTAAGACACAAGAAGGAAAAATGAGCCTTTATTCCTGGGGCTTTGGTGCAATTGTAGCATAGATATTTTTATTCCACATTTAAATACCCCCTTGAAGGCTCAGGTTTTCGTGAAATGCACATTGTTTTCTATAGTAAGTCGGTTATTCAATTGAAAGGGGACTGTTTCTTTTTTAAAGTAAGCCTGCCTCCTATAGGTTCAGAGGATTTTTATATTGGAAAGTAATATGTCCACAAGCTTCACACGCCCTCTGTAAACGTGAAGTCGAAAACAGCATGCATGAAATGAAGTATAAAAAAAACAGAATTTTCTAAATTTACATAAGCCCATCTGGTATAATATTTATCATTTTCCGGTGTCGGAAGATTTGTAGCTATTCGAAATGCACAAACTTTATAAACACAGTTACACGAAGAACTTTTGAGATTTTCAATGGGCATTGCAACATTATTGAATGCGAGACCTGCATCATTGCATTCAGCTGTGTGTTGCAATGCCCAATGAAAATCTCGCTAAGTGCAACTTTAGTTTTGGTGTTTCAGGAGCTTCAGCGCTTGCGCTCTCGTTTTGTCTTACACATTGTTCCCAAGTGAGGTATCAAATTGAACCGGAAAGTTTCCGTGACAAAACGTTCATTTCGGATTTTTTTCTTCACCGAGAGAAATGTCTAAACAAGAATGATTATAAAAACTACTTAGTCCTGTTTGTGCCAGGTGTACACCTTTTCCAGGGTCTCATAGCCAGGACCAATTATTTGCAGGAAATTGAAATGGAAAACGTTTTTAAATTGACTATCTGATTTTTTTTTTAATTGATATCTTCAATATTGGGCTTTGCCCTTCACCGACGTATTTTATGAACACTGTATACTCAGTGTTGTCCCGAGTGATTGAGAAAAAAAAATCACTCGGTGGGATTCGAACCCACGACCTCCTGTGACGATCTCCTGCTTGATATCTGAACATAATTCATATTAAGAGCAGGAAGCAACCACCAAAGCTATCGCTAGTATGTGAGCACAGTCTGGAGCACCTTTCTAAGAGTAACCTGATCATGGCATTCAGACGCACATTCAACGTGACCTTATTAAAACCGGTTTAATAAAATGTCAAAACCAAAACGAACAGAGTGCAAAATGTTAGCACATGGTCCTTGCCTAATATGTGAGAAAGGCCAGAACCGCCAAAATGAATTAAGGGCCTCCCTCGTTAGCAGTATCAGCACCAAACAGCCTAATGCACTGCACCAACAAAGGATGATCCCCATATCCCGTTAAAATCTTAGCGATCGTGACGATAATTGAAATCGGGTTGCCTGGTGAACCGGCCGTTTAAAGGTTTCCTAAGCCGAGCAACAAGCACTCAAGGTTATCGTTAATCTGACGGTAATCTTTGCTTGGATTATCGGACCAGCTGATGTCAGATTTATCTTGAATAAAGATATAACGGTATCGAAATTTGGCCGTGTCCCTGTTGCTTTTTGGTATTTTTAGTGACAAGCGCGGTGGTTAATACCGCAATATGGAACGCCAAAGCTGCCTTTAATAATTCACATCATTCCATTCGGCACACTCATCAATTGAAAATCTCGCTAAAGTGCGACGTTTAGTTTTGGGGTTTCAGGAGCTTCAGCGCTTGCGCTCTCGTTATTTCTTACACAGTGTTCCCAAGTGAGATATCAAATTGAACCGGAAAGTTTCCGTGACAAAAACGTATATTTCGGATATATTGTTTACCGAGAAGTGTCCAAACAATTAAGGATGATTATAGAAGCTGACGTTTCTTTTTGTGCCAGGTGTATATTTAATACTCTAGGTCTAATGGCAAGTTAACGTAACTTAGCGTAAGACTACTACAAAATCATCTTTTTTAAGTGAGAAAATGAATGTAACCCTTTCGAGTTATATCACCTACTTCCTGAGCGGTCATTTGGTGGTCCCGTGTTCTTGGCAGGTGTGCTGCCCTCACGTAGCTGCCAGTAATAATCACTACCACGTGACCCGATCCAGCCACACATTGGGTTGACTGCCTCGTCAAAGGTACATTCCTGAGACAGACTGGCAGCTGGAGAAGGAGAATACGAGGACTCGTTTAATAATAGACAACATTTGTAATATCAAACAAACGATACTACATTATTACGAAATACCGTACTTGACTGTAAGTGAATAATTATAGTCTCATGCATCCTGAATCATGGCACCTGATGTGTTTTCATACTCAAGAAAAGTGAAATTGTTGTATCGATGTCCAACAAAACTGACTTTTTTTTCGAATACTGCCCACAATTCACCAAATTTAGTCTATCTTTTGTTTGCCATAGTTACACATCCGCGAACAGGTACAAGCCAGCTAGTCTGGTTCCCTGACCTGACAATTCCCCGACGTCCATAAATAAATTGCCCCGTTTCGCCTGAAGTAGGGTCAGGGAACCAGAGTACATGAACAACGGGTTTTTTTCATGGTTTTCCAGCTCCATAAACACAAAATTTTAAAAAGATCAGTGTAGCAATATTTGATATACAATACAATTTCTGGAAAGTACAGCAAGAGCAAATGTTGTATGCTGCCTTTTAAATATAGAATGGCAGTTTAGGATGAATGAGTTTAGATGAACTTATCAAAGGGAAAAGGATGGGAGTAATGTGCAGTATAGATAGATCTACTGGTTCACCTATCAATACAGGTAAGGTTTCAGACCGAGGTAAATATAAAGGTTAAAAACATTTATACATATACAAAGTGAGGTATGACGCATTACTTATCGGCAAGAGGTAAAGCAAGCAAATAATGACGGCAAACGGGACGTATTTCGGTGAAGATTTTTTCAAAAGATAAAGGAAGGGACACATCGTGGAAGTAATTGAAAGTTTGGTCGTGTAAAGGGAAATTGTAAAGGTGAGTAATATAATAGAAGTGTATTAAAAGTACTTGTTTTAAGGTAAAGTTAATAAAAAGGTAAACATTTTTTAACATTTAAAGGGCCCGTGTAATGTATTTGTTTTAGTGCAGCCCTCGAAAATGTTAAGTTGTGTCCCATTTAACATTCTTTTCAATTTTCGTTTTGCCATTTTCTATAGGGCGTTGTTTTGGTGGGTTTGTGGCTTTTATGCAAATGTAAAGTTCCATAATTCATGAGCAAAAGTGTGATTTCATTTCAGGCGCGGCAGAAACCTCAGTGTTACAGCTATTTCAGCGCCAAAGGTTGCCAGAAGTTTGGATATTTTGTTGTCCTAGAGGAGGAGAAAAATGCACAAAAAAAGTTCCTATGAAAAATTCATTGCATGAACCATTTAAGTGCGAACCCTTAGTCTTAACAACGTTCCTAGTCGAGATTAACGGTTTGGTTGCTCTATTTTTTCCCCAGTTTTTATTTCAGTTCCTAATTTTCAACGTCGTAAACATTCAAGCCGTTTCCCTGCACACATCCAATAGGCATCAACCTCCTGTTTTCAAACATCAAGGAATACCCAACTTTAATACATGACGTTTCAAAGTACCCCCAGAAACCGCTGGCGATATGCCAAACATTTTTTTTTATTACCGTCCCCAACTGATTCCCTACGTCCTATTTTTAGCGAGCCACTTGTGGATATTTGCCAAACTGCGTCAGATGAGTGAGTCTGATGCGTCAACGGGGGCAGAGAGAGGCTCACATGGTGCGAAGGATTCATGTCAAAGTTTACATCAGCAGGAAGAGGAGCACATAGTGCCCTGGGCAGGAGAGGGTAGTTGAGGGGGTCTAGGGCCCATGGGAGGGGGAACCTGGGGACTAGAAATGGCTTGGGAGATTTTGCCTGCATGTTGAGCTTTTGGTATTACCGTAGATTTACGTTCATGTAGTTACATTAAGGGCGTCATTGAGCTTACATAATCTTCAGTTTTTACCAGTACGGTTAGGGATTTCCAAGAATCCGACAGCCGAAAGTAACTGAGTTGATATCCTGATGTTATCAGCATGATGAAAGAAAGTTTTAGAAAGGCTCAACACATTGCGTATAGGTGGACACCAATATTTTTCAAAATGAATGCCTGTGTTTGCAAAAAGGTATAATGATTTATGAATTAGTTTCCACAGACCCTAACACAAGGCAGGAAGAAGATTCGTCAACGTTGTCAAGAACAAAAAGAAAACAGAACAAAATGTACCAAAGACAGAGTGAAATTTGACTATTGTGAAAAAGCTTTTGTCTGCCTAACAGTGGAAATGATTAATGTGACAGCTGCATGATGTCTGTATTCACAACGTTCCCAGAAACTCACCAACAAACCAGAAACTATAATCTTTCCTATAAACCTTACAAACCACATTCATATCAAAGAATGTCCTTGTATCAGATTAACCACAAGCCACATCACTAGACTCCGGACTTCCCAATTGAAGACACCTGGTACCAACCGCTGCCAAAGAACGGAAATCCACCCGTTCGAGGGCCTGCCGATTCCCGAACGGGCGGACTAACCCTCCCCGAAGGAATAACCACACAAATACATGCAGGATGCACGGAGCGTTTTACCATCAAGTGCGGAAGTTAGACCGGTGCTGCTTGCTTCCCCTCGCCCTCTTATGACTTCCGCCATTTCTGAACTAGTCAAGTTTTTTATGTTGCAGTACGTGACAAGAGTCCTAAAATGTGCAGGGAAGCGAAGTAAAGGGCACCAAGTTCACTCGACACAGGTCATGTGTTGTGATGCAGCAACTCCTTGTACCTCAGCGGGTTTTCAGAATGGATTTTTTTTGTCAGACAGCATCGCGTGTTTCCGACGGCTGCTTTCTAGGGACGCGGGGCTGTTTCTGTTTTGGGAAACCAAACCGAGGCGTTGAATCGGACAGATAAGAAGGCGCGTGTTTCCCCCATGCCAGATATAATGAATGACAAATTTGAGATATTTGGGTATTACACCAAAAACAAGTGCGAGTGCACAATGCTCTGGCCGTCTTCTTGCATCAAGGTCTTGTATGAAATGATTACAATTACTCACTTGGTCGTGATTGTCAATTGAAATAAAGGATTTCCCATTGGTTGAACGTCACAATGCAAACTTTAAACCTTGATAATGCAGCTATTATGTCCTCCCTCATTGGAGACCCATTAACAGTGACACAGGGCCTGAGACAGGAGATGGCCAAGGTGATGTATAGCGAACAGTGCATTCCAAGGTCTGATACACACGAACTAACGAAGAAGGCCCCTAAGTTTATAGCGCGCTATATATCACGTGACCATTACATTACTGCACATATCATGCCTCCAGTTACAAAATTTTCATAAACAACTTCACAAATTGTTACAAACATTTTTTGTTAAGTATTTAACTTATTTCGGTTTTTTTTTGTGAAGATTAAAATTTGGTAGTTACATTTAATGGGACACTTAGAAGGTTTGTTTTTGGTCAATTTTTTTCAGGGACCGACCGACACCAGGGTAACTTGTAGAAGCACTGTGCCTGAGCTTAAAAAATGTATCATTTGCGTTTCTGCACAGATCTTTTTTTTTACTTCGATAAATACTGTTCTGGCACGATGTCAATTGGTATAATAATCATCTCTACCACTTCGAATATACATACAGCTTAGGGTGGTACCTCCGATAGCGGTTACCAGGTCACTGTATTTCCCCCTATTATGTACAGGGGACAAGTCCAATATGGCCTAAGTCCTTATACGGTAGGTCACTTTTAGTCCAACCATGCATGGGGTCAGTTGTGGTTGACCCCGTGTGTCATATACTCAAGGGATCCCGGATATCCTACCTCTTAGAAATGGTTAAATTGGACATCCCCTTCCTTCCACAGAGATCTCTCATAAAATTCAAGGCTCTAAACATTCAAAAATGACAACCTGGCAGGTAGATTGAACCCTAATTATTTCATGCAAAACAGATCCAGGTCAGTAGCTCAAGGGAGACTTCAGCTTGTGATAAAGTCAGTGCTAGACGGAGTGTCTGCGCTATCGGCATCTTTTCTGTTGGCTATCCTTAGCTATCTTTAGTCTCACATCTGGTAGTTTTCACCTCTGTCATCTCTAATTAACGTTTGAAACAGCACACGCGCGAGGCGGCTCGATCCCATCAAATGAAATTTCCTTTCAATCTGCTAAATAGTATCAATCCCCTGAGGTTAGGATTTCAAATCTTCATGTTTGGCATTGAGAAAAATTGAAAAATAAAAACGATTAACCGGATTTGTTTCTTCTATAAAGTCGTTTAGAAAGTTTGACCCGGTTGGGGACATTATTTCCTACAAGATGGATAATGCAGCTTACGTTTTAAGCAAGAGATTTTTTCAAAGTCTAAACAACACAGCTTTCTATGGAATACGGATGATCCCTGTATCAGGAATGCCGAAATGTATACCTTTGCAACCGACATTGAAGTTGGCAGGACAATGTTTTCGCCATTATGAACCGCCTGCTTCATGTGCTCTGTGGTGCCCTAGCCGAAGAGGCGACCTGTTTGCAGCATGGTCACAATTTTCGAAGAAGAAATTTCAATTAACAACCGAGTGACCTTTTATTGCCTGGGCAGGCAGCCACCCCTCATATGATGACTAAACATATGCGATCTGTCAGTGTAGAAATCCACGAGGCATGGCGAGAATTACCCTGGCGAGCACCAAAACACCAGATCAGACAAACATCACCGTCCGAATCACCTGGTATCGATTCTCTATTCCGGAACCGACGGTGGCGAATAGTTGACCCCGAAACACACATTCGACTCTCAACAAGACAACTTTACTTCACACGTCTCAAACCAAAACACAAAATCCGAAGCAACTCCGAAAACACATGGCATTCATTTTGTCGTCAGACTGCCCGGAAGATTTCAGATTTTCAGCCCAGACCAGGGGCCAGATTTGCTAAGCACAAAACATATGTGCTCAGAAAATAAGGTCACCAACCAATAATAATGTCATGCAATGTAAAAGCGCCTGAAAGTTCACACCTGGTGGCGCGCTTCCGGAACCCTTGAATTAGAAAATTAACGTGCAAAAGTTCTAACGTTTGCAATTAATTTGGTTACATTGATTTCTTAAGAAAATCAACCTCGATAAAGGCCTTC